GATTGTAAATTAAAAGTTTTTATATATGTAAATGTAGATTCTATTTTGCTACAGGTTAAAGCTAAAATATAAATTAATAATCACAATTGTAATTAAAATATTACGTATTTACATACTTTTTAACTTTATATTTAAGTAATAAAAGAATAATAATTTTTAAACAGGACAAACACAGCGTCTCAGTAATATTTCTTTCAATGTTACACTCCCAAATTGCAACCCGAATTCACATTTAGTGCATATCTTTCATAACATAGTGTTTTTTGTACAATAACCGAATTTGTATACATAGTCACGCCATTAAAGATGAATTTATGATATTTTTATAGAAAGTATTTTATCCATCGTAATTGGGTTGAGGCGTTTTTTCTGGATTAGTATTGATTGATATTTGACAGTAATTAAATTCACTATAAAACGGAACAGAACGCATAATGAATCATACACAGTCGTCGATAGCCATGCAACGATTTTTAGGAGGGGAAAATGTACGAAGACAACTGTTTGTCCTATTAACCGCTGAACGGCTGATCTCGAGAAGGGACACGTATGAGCGGTCGCTAAATTAGAACGATGCTGTCCCGTTGCTGTTTGTGTTTTCATTAGTTTTAATACTGCTAAAATAATAGGCGCGTATACTGGTAATCGGTTTATTATAAGCCACTCGGTATTTCTTGATTTATCAGCTAATAATTACTTCTTAGAATCATCGTTTATGGCTTAAATGGCAATAAACTTTATTTTTTTTTTAATGCCAATGTACACATTGAAATAGCTAATCAAATAGAAAACTATATAATTAATAAAATGGACTGGTCGATAATAATTTTGGACACAGTACTTTGAAAATTATTCTTTATTTTTATACTTTGGCGGGACGAAGAGTACGGTAGGAAAATGAATAATGATAAAAATAGTAGCACCCACTAATCAGCTCCAGCCATTACTTTAAATTGTTAATTTATTTTGAAAAACTGTTTTTAGTTTCGATGCGAAATTGGTTTTACTAAGATGTGTGTTTTTTTTTTTTTTTGTNCGATGCGAAGCTGAGAAGGTATTGGTTTTACTAAGATGTGTTTTTCTTTTTTTTTTTTTGTGTCTGTTACCACTTTTTCTCAGCTCTCACTGAACCAATTTCTTTCAATGATACGTCAAAAGATCACAAATTGTATCTAATCGAAGACATTACTCTCAAAAATTGAAAAAATTTCCCTCGTTTCCCGTAAATGGGGGAGACCTACAAAAAAATTACAAATTTAAAAATCGCTAATTTTTTTAAAATTTTTTCACTAAAAACTGCCGTAACTTTTTCAAAAATAGACATATCAATATAACTTTTTTTATATATATATTAAATTAAAGCTAATGAAATATACTTTAATTAAAAAAAAAAAAATTTGACCCGTGGACTTGTCTTTATGGTGAAAATAGACATCAAAGATAATAAAAAATTACGATTTTTTTAAAATCATTTTTTTTTATATTTTTAACTTTATAATGCTATAACTATTTGAAAAATGTATGGATCAATATAATTTTTTTTCATAGATGCTTGATATCTTTATCTATCATTTGGTATATATTTTTTGTAAATCTGACACTTAACCTGCCCACAGGTGGGATTTAATATGACCACTTTTCACAAAAAATTAACTTTTTCAACTTAACTTTTGAAAATGTTCCGGAAGGTCTGACACTTTTATATATATCTTAAATTAAAGCTAATGTAATGCACTTTATTATTGAAAAAAAAAAAATCGTACTTTATTTTGTCTTCAGGGTGAAATTGGCTATTGAATGCTATTTTTGTGTGAAAATTCTCGATTTTATTTTTTACATTTTTAACTTTATAATGCTATAACTTATTGAAAAGTGTATGGATCAACACAATTTTTTATGAGAAATAATATTTTTTAATAACCCCTTTTTTTATTCGACATACTTTATCTTAATACAGATATTAATAAGGAACTAGCAGATCATATTGGAATAATCCACCAATTTTTTTAAAATTAAACACTATCTAAAGATTTGCATCGAAGCTTTTTTTTTTATAGTTATTTTAATCACTGTCAGATATCATTATCTTGATCCAACTATGCCACGTCAACACTGTGCCGCGACCCCCCTGTGCTGGGTTTTTTTTTTTTATCTTTAGTTCCACATTATTCTTGAATTATAAAGTATGTAATATTTTTTAAGTTTTTTTATTTTTTAAATTTTTTACAAATACAGGTAGCTAATTGGTTTTTTATGACATCAATATTAGCAGTTACACAGCATTGTTATTATCAATGATAGTAAGGTACATTGTTTTGAGTTTATAAATACACTAACTGACAATACAAAAAGTATATCTATTAATAGTTACAATTGATAATAAACAATCCGTGACTGTGACAGCAATGTCATAAAAACCAATTAACTACCTATATTTGTAATCCCTTGTGTATTATACCTGTATATTAACTCAAAAATTTGAAACTTTAAATGATTATATCTAATAAACGAATTAAGTTATATTAAAAATTCAAATGCCATTTACTATTAAATTAAAAACTCAAACATTTCATTAAATTAAAAATATATGTTACCATTTAAAAAAACAGAGTTGACCCCCTTACAAGGCATAAGGGATGAACTTAAAAAGTATTACATAGTTAAAAGTTCAAGAATATGTAACTAAAGATAATGAAAAAAAAAATTTTTTAATTATTATTATTCTGCAAGTAATTGAGGGGGTTATGATAAAAAAATCACTCTGTATATAGTGTTAATTTGTATAAGTAATTTATATAAAAAATATAATTTGTATCACATCATATTTACAGTCGTATGCATTCCATAATGAGTCCTACATCTAATTTTAATTACATTTTAATTGCGAAAAATTGTAATTCTAATTTAAATACATGCATAGACATATTCATGAACTTACTTGGATTTTAACTATTTTGAATTCAATATTTCTGTCTATTTTCTCCAAAAAAGAATTTAATTCTTTATTCGTTTTTTGTGCTGTAAATGAAATGAATTCATAATTTGACAATTTTGATATATACATTACATGGAATTTCTGTTTTGTCATAATGATACCTTAATATGTTTCAACAGATGACATATACATACCATTGTATTCGAAACTTGTATTTTGTCCTTTGTAATTTAAAATAATTTTTTTTTCTTCGAACGTCTAAAAAATATAAATAATAGTGACAATAAAAAATAAAATTATAATTTTTGGAAAGTGATACGATCACATAAGTGTGATTATATCTAACATTATTATTGTAACGCCGACTAGGCTTATATCGTGGACACTTTGACAACTTATTACTACAGGAGGATAGACTGCACACATAAACACTTTTGCAATTCACGGTCAATGTACCATAATAATATATCCCTAACGCCAGTTGACTTTTTACCATCATTGTGACTCTTGTCTTTTATTTAACTGAACTTACTAACACTTAAATAGTGTGCGTGTGTGTGTGTCGCCGTTGAATTATATCACCTCAAGGTGTCCAGCAGGTTTTACTATTTATTTAATATATTTTTACTTAATAAATATTTATATCGTTGTTAACCAAGAGTGTTATATATACAGAGTGGCCTAGTACTCACTGACAACTTAAATGACTTTTGATCCAGTTAATATTTTTAGCTGATTTTTTTTTAAATAATAATTATACGTTAGGTCTATAGCTATATCTCAATAAATAATTTTTTTACATTTTATTAAAAATATTAAAATTAAATTAAACAATAATTTACAACCTTGGCATTAATACCATGATAAGAAATTTGATAAGGCAATTATTACTTATCACTCTCATTCAAAAGTATAAGTCATTTTTATGGAAAAAGTTACCCACCTCCAAATTATAGTAATCACGAAAAGATAGTGTTGTCTTCTGTCCTTTTCTCAATACGTATTTCAATGTTTAATACTGTAAAATAATACATGAAAATTCAAATTTTCACAAACTTTAAAATGCTACAGAATATTTACTACTGAATATTAATAAGATATTTTTTTATTAAAATTTTTCTTAAACTCTACTCTAAAAAATGGTAATCTTAGATTTTTTTTTTACATTTTATTTAAAATTTAAAAATAATTAATATTTTTAATAAAATGTAAAAAAATTATTTATTGAGATACAGCTATAGACCTAACGTATAACTATTATTTTAAAAAAAAATCAGCTATAAATATTAACTGGATCAAAAGTTATTTAAGTTTTCAGTTAGTGCTGGGCCACCCTGTATATTTATATATATATATATATATATTGTAGTGCGACCCTTGATAGTTCCTCTAAGGGAATATAAATTAAATAGAAAACCTCAGTACTTGAGGTAGATATAGCCTAGCCAGCTATCCCCCGTTAATCTTTTAGAATACTGTTGACAGGCATTTAGGCTCAACCACTGAATAGCGACGTAACAAAAGTTAAAGAGCATAATTGTATATTTTCTCTTAAAAAGAAACTCATTCGTTTGAAAGAAATTTTTAGAAAACAAAATAAACAATTCTAAAATTCAAATATTAGTTCCATGTAAATTTTCTGGAACTTCTAATGAACCAACGACACTAATTTTGACATAATAAATGTTCTTAAAGACACTTAAAAAACTGATGTCACTTCATTTCATAGAAACAATTACATGTGTTCTTCTTACATAAGATATATTCATCTAAAGTACATCTAACATGTCTGCTAGTGACAAAAATCTCTATAATAAGACGGTTATAACTTTTTGGGATATTTTCTTTAAAAAAAGGGGAATTTCTATTCTTCGAGGATAAAGTTACCAACTGGATAGTTTGGGTTCCCTTGACGTATTATTAGTTTAAAAGAAGCTAATATACGAGGCTACCAGTGATTACCGTAAACCGATAAAAAAAAATTATTTCGTGAAAAACGGTAATTGATTAGCATAATAAATTAATTAAAACTAGTTATTCAACATTTATAATAAAAGTAACATACGATTATAAATTGTATTATTATTTTTGGTTTATTGGTAATATAAATTTGGCTCTTACGCTAAAAAATAAAAATATAACAATAATTATTTAATTATTTACTAAAAATAAAATCGTCAAATGGCCATCTTGGGACAATTAAATATTTTATAGATTTTATCATAAAGTTTTGTACCCAAACATTTTGATCATCTTCACAATATTTGTTATTATTTTACTAATATTGTATATTAATAAAACAAGCGTGACAATTAACTGTCCCATGTTTATCACCCTCCCTAAATAGAACCATCTGACGACACCGCAAATATTTAAAGTATATAATTTATAGCTGTTATTATAAAAAGTTTAAGCATTTTTTATATAGTAAGTATAAAATATAATATATATTACCATCCACTCCCATCAAAATAAAAATATACGAATACATTTTTATTTATCTATTAAGGAGCTGATTTCTATCATCTCTTACTAAATCCTATTATGATAAAGATACTTACATAATTCAAAAAAATTTCTGCATTCATTTTTTTTTTAATTACAAAATCCTGAAATAAAATCCAGTAAAATTATTCAGTTTGATAATAATCAGAAATTTCATTCAGAAATGTTTAAAGCGGTAACTTAAAATAAACAGCATTATGTATAGCTATAGCTTTTAACAAAAGCTCATAAGTAGCAAAATTGGGTTTTAAAGACTTGAGATTTGTATGGAGAAAGATGTTGTCTGTCGTAACCTAAAAATTATAGGCCAATTTCATCAGGACGGATTTTCTTTTGTACTACTGTAATTGATGATTACAAGCCTTTTTGTTGTAGCAAAGATACATATTGTTGAAAACGAAATAAAATGAATTGATAGTGATATTTTTTTCATTATCCATGATTTCTTGATTAATTTTCAATGTTTATTGGTTAGAAGGTGTAAATCAAATTATTAAATATAATTCTAAAGAAATATTGAATAAAATTTCATAAATATAGTTTCAGGACATTCACGCCGAAGACGCTTCATTTTTTTTTTTATTATAACTTAAAGGAAATGCGGCACTTCGTCGCGATGGGCACTAAAAGAATAAAACACGGACTACATAAAATGTCGACAAAAAAACCCTGACTGGTGAGACACAATAAAAATAAAATACTTTTAAGCAAAAGTTTAAAATTTATAAGTATAAAGTTATGATTATAACATATGGTTATAGAAAACGTTGATATCCTTAATTTAAATTTACTTGATTAGTATAATAAATCGTAAAATTTATAGCAGAAAATATTTTTTTAAGTTATTTGGTATAATATTGGGCATACGGTTTAGGTGGAATTATACCTCCTTGTGAAATGTGGATTATCATATTCAATAAAACAGTTAAACATTTTATTAGAAGAATGTACAAATTGTTTGAACAAATTAGAAAAGTAAAACTTTAAAAGAATGATGAGTTATTATGAGTTAATCGACTCCAAATAATTTTTAAGACTTAAAAGACTTAAGACTGATCAAGGGAAATAATAAACAATGTTCCCTGTAAGATTCTACAATGCACTATTTCGCCAAATAGTACAGTATTTAGTACAGTTTGTGATAATTCTAAATTAAAAAAATCAGTGCAAATTTCCCAGCATACTTTATAATAATAGGCAAAAGGTAAATTCTATAAGACCTAAGCGAGACCAGCTATGATGTATGGTACAGAGTGTTGGGTGGTTGTCAAGAAATTAGAACAGAAAATGAGTGTAGCAGAAATGGAAATGCTTATATGGATGATTGGAGTGACTAGAGAAGATAGGATAAGAAAGCATAAGAAGGAATATAGGTGTAGGTTCAATTGTAGATAAGATGAGAGAAAATAGACTTAGATGGTTTGGTCTTGTTAAGAGGAAAGAGAAATCAGAAACTGTGAGAACATTTATAGAAATGATTGCTAAAAGATGAAGAGGTAGAAGAAGACCAAAAAGAGATAGAAGGATGTAATTTAATGCGATATGAGAATGGCTAATGTGAGCGTAGATGATGTGGGAGATCGTGGTAAGTGGAAGTTTAGGATAATGGTGGCCGATCCTAAGTAGTTGGTATTATGGCGAAGAAAAATAAAAAGAAGAAGACTTATTAATAATGCATGTTTTCTTTTTCCAAATAAAAATTTTTATTCTTACTATTGTTACGTCCTTGTAGTTACCGTATTATTATTCTTAGTATCGTATTAATTTACGTATGTTCATTTTTGCTATTATTATTTTAACCCATTACTTACCTGCATGTCAAACTCACCGAGTGGATCGGGCCATCCACTCAATTATGTTGCGGACCCCATAAAAATTACACTACACAAAAATTGTAAGGATTCTGACGAATAATCAACAGTTTGATCGAAAAGTAAGTCTAAAAAATTACCTACCAGTACGGTTTCTCCTATTGTGTATTTATTAGATAACCAACTGCAGTTGTTATTATTTAGCATACAGTTTCAATATTGTAACCAAGTGTCTGCTGACAATAGCGTTGCTAGTACAGCTCATCTTAGTGATACTATTACTAAGTCTAATAACGCATTAAATACTATTTAGTTTGATAATGACACGTATAATAACCACGAACTTGTTAATCAAAATACTATAATACAAAGTAATAACATAGATATTAATAATTCCTTTCAACGAAAAGTTTGTCTAATTCAAATATGATTGTTCACAGCTCAAACATAGACTCCAATGTTAAAACCTTTTCGAATACCTAAAATAGGACTCTAGTAATTCTCATTTAATCAGTTGCTAATAACCAAAATATTGGCAAATTACACCCATTAAAAATTGAAAAGTTTTTTCACAAAAAATGTTGTGGCATAAAAAAAAACATTCCAATTGGATCTAGAATCAAAATTATGCGTAATTCTATAAAATCAGCTAATTAATGTCCCTTAATTCTCATTTACTAGATGAAATCGTTAATTCCTTCGACTTTCGCATGGTATTATCCGACTAAAAATTTTACAATAATTGCATTAATAAATTCTCACCAATTTTAAAGGACCACACTTTAAATATATCTAAAATAAAAATAAAAAAACTGTAAATATTTTTATTAAATATATCAAAATGAAAACTTAATCAACGTCGTAATAATAAATAATAAAACATACTTCTGGAGAGCTGAAACAATGTGACTCTAAAATCCAATCAGCATCGGTAAGCTATAATATAATCAATGAATGTTAATAATATTATTTTTAATATCAAAACTGTTAATTCATAAAATTGATGTTTTATTTAATTGTGATTAAACTTACAAAATTATTTTTGACAATTGTTCGATATTTATTAATGTTTCCATTCTATATAAAAAAAACTTCATTTGAACATTTTATACAAAGATTTTATATTCATAATTACAGTTAGAAAAATATATTTATTAAAAAAATAATGATTTAAAGTGTTTGCGAAAAATGAAACTATATCATGACTTTTTTAGTTCTATAAAAGTGTTATGTTTTAACTGATGATTTATAATAAAACTGTCACATAAAAATTAAATAAAAAGTATCTAAACTAAATTATTTAATTAATTATCATTTAATAAACTGTTCTAATTACCGTGTCAATAAAAAAAGTATTTCCAAAAACATCTCCAAAAAAACAACCGCACATAACAATTAATACAAAAGAATACATTTTAGAAAACATTTTCAAGAATACTAAAATTTGTATGGTATATTGACCGATTTATAACTGAGAATATATTTTATTAAACTTTCATTTAATTATTGCATTTTTATAGGTATTAAAGTAAAAAAATATTTAAAATAAGAAAAAATTATTTTTAAAAGTACCGTAATGGCATATTTTGTTCATTTTTAAAAAAAAATATATATAAATTATATTATTATATTTATGTATGAAGTGTGAAAAAAATGCTATTTACTTTTAATACTTTAAATTTTTAATTTAAAAAATAAATCAATGAATTACAAAAACTACACAATAAATGAATTCTAACATTTTAGCTTATAATTATAATTTTTTATAATTGTAAAGAGGATATTAATTGGGTTCTTGTAATTATTTTTTAAACCATTTTACGTAATGATTAACGCGTATGATATATTAAGTAAATAAAAATGATACGGGTATCCTTGAGGTAATTCAAAATTATTCGTAAAATGATTTTAAAAATAAAGTGTATTTTGATTTTCAATACTCGCTTAAAAAAATATCTAAATTCTCAATGACATTTAATACAGACTAACTAAACATTATACATTTAATTTATGTCTTTATTTTTGAAATAAATATAAATTTATTGTATTAAAATATAAGAGCTTCAAATTTTTGTGAACGGTTGGATTTGGCTTGAATTGGTTAAACAGCATTTTAAACCGTTTTACAAAAAAATAGAAATATATTATATTAATCTATAATTTAATAAATAGTTATCAATATTTTTTACCGTGATTACTCTGGACACCATAATTTATTTTAAATGTATATTTAATGTTATATATAAAAATTAATATTATTTAATTTAGTTTTATAACGATAAATATCCTATACTTAGAGCATATTTACTTAATGTTACCTTACGTATAAATTATTATAAATACCTATAGGTTGTGTAGTGTATTTACTTTTATAAATGTGAAATACTTAGAAAACTAAAAAAATTTACTTGTATTTATGTTTTTCAAAATTGTAGGACAATCAAAACAAATAAAGATACATTTTAGCTTCGATGCAAAGCTGAAAAGATATTCATTTTATTATGATGTGACTTTTTGTTATGTCTGTTGCCACTTTTTCTGAGGTCTCACAGGACCGAATTCTTTAAAGATTTATCAAAAAACCTCAAATCGTATCAAGTTGAAAACATTACTCTTAATAATTAAAAAAATTTTCCTCGTTCCCTGTAATTAAAGGAAATCCCTAAAAAACTACGATTTTTAGAATCGATACACATATTTTTCACTTTTTTTTTTTATAAAAATTGCCATAACTTGCTTGAAGTGCTTGAGGACATATCCAGTTGCAGTTGAGTCCGAAACGTCAGAACTCAATTGCAAACATGGATATATCCTCAAGAACTTCAAGCAACAAGACAATCCATGAAAGCTTTAACACATTGCCACAACTTTTTCAAAAATGAACATATTAAAATATTTTTTTTCATATAGAAACCTTAAGTATTTTCCTTTCATTTAATATAATTTTTTTGAAAACTCTATTCTATATCTGCCAACAAGGGTGAATTCAAAACAGCAACTTTTTCACGAAAGTCAAGTTTTTCAATTTAACTTTTAAAATTGTTCCGAAAATAGTGCCTCTTTTAAATATATGAAATGATTATTACTAGGAAACAAATTATTACCGAGATCGACACTAACTATAACAATAAATAGTACAAGCTTCTTCAAAATGAATAGCAATAAAAAATGTCTACAATATCTGTACATATTAGTCGTGAACGAATAAAGCCCCTGTTTTTCTTTGTGTAAATTTATTTTATAATTAAGTTTAATAATCAAAAAATAAAAACATTATTTACAAAAAAATTTAACACGTCTACCAAATCAATTTTGCGAATCAGCTAAATGATTCTTGTATATATATATATATTTTATTTTGGAAAAATATTGAAAATAGATTAATACGATCAGAGATATACATATATTTATTAGGGTGGTCCTTAGCTTTTAGGTGTAGAATTTTTTTTTTCGAAATTTGATCGGGTCATCTCCCAAATTTGTTCAAAACTATAAAAAAAATGGTTCATACTTAATTTTATTAATTTTGGTCGTCCATAAGCCGTGCCTCAAGAGGGTTGAAAACTCGGTAATAAGGGTAGTTTTTCAGTTATTGTGGTTTATCTCAAAAACTATGACATTTACGTAAACGTTCATTAAAAAAAAAATTGTAGATATAAATATTTTAAATAATAAAGTTCATTACTGAAAAAGTAGTAAGTCAAGTATTTACCTCGTAAAAGTTAAAAGTTCAAAAAAATTTTAAAAAAGGTGTTTTTCAGTTTTTTGCGATTAAATCCTAAAGTATTAACTATAGAAAATAATAACTTTTATAAAATGTTTTCAAAATTAAATTTACAATAATATTTGTAATAAGTGTTTTTCTCATAAAACGACTCATTCTATTACAAAATAACAAAAATTCGATTTTATACTATATTAAATTTTATATTGACAAAATAATAGATCATTTTCGCTTATATATGTCAACGAGGTAATACTCTCATCAGTATTCTCATTGTGTAATGTTTAAAAAAAAAGTTGGTTTTTATTTTTAATCTTATTATATAGGTATCAAAACGTGTTTTATTTTATCAAGCTTTTTAGGTATCATTATTGATTTAGAATCTTAAATGTTTCACTATCTGTTTTTAAAAATTATCAAAATCATATAAAATTAATACATTTTGTGTCTATTATTTTTAGATAACACCTGTTGATAATTCTTCGATAATACGTTTGATTGTAACCAATAAGTAAAATAATACTACTACAATGGTTTAAAACTCGTTTATACTTAGTACTCGCAAATACCTATTGCAGCATTTGAACGGGCTCGGTACAAAGTTTTTGTTTATATTTTGTTCGTTTTAACGCTGATTAAGTGTAATTTTTGTTATTTTCTAGCTTTTTATTTTATTATTTAATATTAAAAGTAGTGTAGTAATATGTCACACAAAGTAAAATTTGCGTAAACAGATTTATTTATTATGTCATAATGCCCATCAAATTTTTGGCTGTAAATTACTTTCTAATATACAAGTTCTAAGAGTATTGTTTCATAATATACGTGAAGTCAAATTAAGCATCCGTGATAGTGCACGATTAGTAATACATGAGGTTTTAATATTTTGGCAAAAAGCTCGCATTCCAACTCGTGAAGTACGTCACTGTATATTAAAATTGGAAGCAATTTATGACGAATGGTGAAGTTTGCAAAAAAATGCATCACGACAAACTGATACTCAAAAAAAAAAAAAGAAAATTGTTTTATCGATAAATTTGACGACATTTTTGATATAGCACATGCTGATGCTAATCATGCTGAATACATGCTGAATCTGATGAGTATTGAGTTGGATAAACAATTTTTAATTCGTCAACGTCCGGGATCGTTGAGTGGAATTGATTATGATTCATATCAAGCTTAACAAAAAAACGTATTTACGCTTTGAAAAAACAGAAAAAAGAAAAAAACGTAATTATGATGAAATAAAAGCATCGTGTAAGTGTTTAATTAACTTATAAATGTTATAAATTATACTATATTATTTATGAATAATAATTGCAGATGATACAGTTGAGTTTTATTCAGGATCGTCAGAAAGTGGCACTGACGATGATAGTCAAATATTGTCGACCAATGATGATTTAATTTTTGAGAAAACATTATGTGAACCAGGTCCATCTACTAGTAAACTAGCTTCAAAACAGTTTTTCACTAACAAACTTGTAGCTGCATTGGATAGATGTAAGATTAGTGACAAGGACGCCACTAATTTACTTATGGCAGCGGCTGAAGCATTTGGTCAAAACGTTGAAAGTTTGGTAATAAATCGTTCGTCAATACATAGAGAACGTGAAAGTTACGTAAAGAACGAACTTTAAAGTTAAGTGAAAATTTTCAAATTAGCTTATTTAGTAATGCAGTCGTACACTGGGATGGAAAATTGCTTCCTTCGTTAACTTTAAAAGATCTTGTTGACCAATTATTCCTAGTGGAGATCATGAAAAATTTCTAGGTGTACCAAAATTATCAGAAGGACCTGAAGAGGAACGGGCTATAAAAGTATATGAATCAATTATTTTGTCAATATAAAATTTATTATAGTATAAAACCGAGTTTTTGTTATTTTGTAATAGAATGAGTCGTCTTATGAGAAAAATACTTATAACAAATATTATTTTAAATTTAATTTTGAAAACATTTTATGATAAGTTATTATTTTCTATAGTTAATACTTTAGGATTTAATCGCAAAAAACTGTGTTGGATACACATCGATCGAATATGCTGTCAAGAAAATGTGTTTTTTGATTATTCATGTTATCGTTGTGTTACATCGAGTTGTTGTCGGTTTTTCTCTCTATGTTACCATTGTCGCAGCCATCTTAACGCTTCTTCTGATATAAGCTCTATGGCGTTTTTGCGAGCTAGTAGTTTTCTATTCGTTTTACTGTAAAAAGAAAATATCACCTTTGCGATTGTCGTACCCTGTGCGCTCAGTTTATCGCCGTTGGGTCTATATATTTTCTGAGATACATCACAATACCTTTGATAGCATATTGTACACTTTGGTCAGCTACTTGCATTCGACTTCAATTGATCCTTTCAATATTCAACATTATCATCAGCCGTTTCATTTAGCAGATAAGTATAATGCTTGTTCATTTATCTTTCTAAGACTCACTTGTATAATTTATTATTTGTTTATATCATCGCCTTTGTGGCATTAGTATTAAGTGTCCCCCCTATCCACATTGGTGTATATAAGATTTTATATTTATTATATAATACATTTAATTTGTATAATTATATCTTGTGAAATTCATTCTACATTCAAACATACAGTCCACTCATCTTATTCTTTATCCTCGACATAGCTAAAACTTAAGACAAAACAAAACCACGAACGTTAACGAACCCGCGTGAATACCACTGGGCGCAGCGTTCATACAAACTGAAAAACACCTTTTTAAAAAATGTTTGAACTTTTAACTTTTACGAGGTAAATACTTGACTTACTACTTTTTCAGTAATGAACTTTATTATTTAAAATATTCATATCTACAATTGTTTTATTATAAAAGATTTTATGACAAACTACACGGATATGATTAAATGGATACATAAGCAAAAATATTGTTACTTTAAATGCGCTGGGAGTTCCTCGATTGTGTAAGCTTTTTGGTTTCTGTTTCTATCAATAAGTCTATACATGACCATATATGCGTTTGATCTTCCGCTAAAAGTGCTTTCAATTTTATGTTGTGGTATCTGTGTAGTAGTTATAGTCTTATAATTGTGGTATTTTCCAAAAAATATAATTACTTACGGGAGTAATAATATCATCATCACATTTAAACCATTGTCCTGACTTGAAATCTTTTATATAGGAGTAATAGTGCCCAAAAGTGGCTACTCCTTTGTGACTGATCACTCCGTATAATTCAAATACGGAATTATAGCCATCCGCATTCATTGAAATGAAAAATGGAAAAGATACTCTGAAAAAAAATTTCATACAAAAATTCATAACAATGTTTTTTTACGTTTACATAAACATTACGTACTTGTCATTTATTTTTTCGGGTTTTAGACTTTTTATGTTATAGGAAATCCTACCTAGATGAAAACATATAATATATGGAAATTTTTTAAATTGTTGCCCTTTTAGGAATTTGCATTTTTTTCCACAAATGTCACAAAAATGTTCATCTAATATTTCAGGTCTTAAATATTGTTCTATTGCATATTCCTATTAGTCAAGTATATTAATATAAAAAACAAATTTATTAATTTAACTTTAATTTTGCTTTTTCTACATTAAACATATACGGTTCATATATATTTACCAGCGAGTCATATGATGTCTTTCCATCAATAGAGCGAATAGGCAGAGAAATATCAAAAAATGTGGAATACTGCTCTTTACTTCTATTGCACATTGTGCAAGTAAGGTATTCGACTTGAATGCCTGAAAAATGTTAATGAATAGTAAGCATGATGAACTAATAAAATACTAAACAAGTCTAAAAAGACAGTCATGTTCCTTTTTATAGTAAATACTTGCCACTGAATAGATCACTAATTATGTTAGCGTACGATGAAAGTTGCAACTTCTCGTCCAAGATGCCCAAAAAGGATCGACCAAACTCTTGGACGTCTTGCTGGGTATCTGTGTCCTCCTGAGTCCAACCAAGACTTTTTGTTAAGTCTTTAGTCTTGACCGCCCATGTGTCAGGTCCAAGTAGTTCTACGAAAAGTCTTTGAAGTTGATAAGCGACGTTAAACCAAACGTCGTCGCCGGAATCATGAGGGAATGTCAGTTCCAACAACGCGTTACGAAATTCCGGCGTATGGAACATGACTTGGATGAAAGCATTTAAGTAACAAGTGGCCCCTTGGTTTTTAATACCACGACACACTGAAAAATAATTGATAAAGTATTGGCTATAATTGAACATTTATTAAATATTGAACTGTTATTACCTGGCAAAACATGTTTAGCTTCAGTAGGTAGACTAAACAGTGGTTTCTTTGGCTCTCGGTTCTTTTGCGTAGGAGTTTCTACAACTTTTTCAACACTTTGGGTTGATTTTAAAGTGTTGAAAACCATAGTCCAAGAATATATCTAATTTTATTAAAAAAAAACACTAAATACAAATTCATAAGTTTAAAAATTATTGATGTTTAAGTCTTTAATTGGTAATTGTATTATAAACTATCTTCAAAAAACGCAATGATTTTATAATCAAAATACAGCTATTGTATTGTTTATTCAACTTTAAACGGATAATGTGTTTATAATAATATTTAAAAATCATAATATACGTACTTTAAGCTCATCAAGATTTGATGGAATCGTCAAATTGACTATCTCTTCTTTTATCGTTTTCTTAATTTCGAGTTTATTATTGCTATGAACTTTAGGACTTTTTTCGTGGTCTGATTGTTTTGGATTAGGTAATTGATTTTTACTATATGTCCATACACTGTTCTTTTTATTAGTTGCTAAAGTTCATTAAAGAATTAAGCTACAAACTTTTAGTTTTAATTTTAATTACTTACATTTTTTCAAAGATAATTGTTTTACACGAGTCCAAGTTCCTTTTAGTAACCCGAATAATGCCTTACTTTTATTTAATGTATTGAGAACAATTTTTAAGCCCATTATGCGTTTAATAAAGACAATAACTAATCTTTTATTAAATAGATTTCCTTAGAAAATTTTTATTTTTTAATAAAAAATGAACTTAATTAAAAGAAATACATTTCTTTTATACTTACTATGATTATACTTAGGAGTAAAGATTTTTGCATAAGAATACAATTTGTTAAGTTTTTATAAGAACGCACAATATAGTAAAACGAAATAATAAAGCTTTACGAAATTGGACTGTTAATGTAATTATTTGTACTAAATTAATTTATTTATTTACTCGATAATCACCAATGATTTCAATTTTTTATATAACCAGCAAATTTTTTTAAACTAAGTGAACATGATTTATGTAATAAACTTAAAAAAAATTATTATTATTATATTAAAATAAAAGTATACTAAATACGAATCATTTTTTTAATTTTGACCCTTTCGTTTAATATTTTAATAGGATTTTCGAAATTAGCTTATTGCACTGACATTTTTATTTTACAAAATAATACTATATACGAGATAATTAGCTAAAAAAGTGTTGTCTCTAAATTTAGCATGCATAATAAACCTATGAGAATACATAGATTCATTGGGGACTCAATTATCAATAGGCGACCTGTATTATATATATGTCGCCAAAAACATTGACCCATAATTGATTCACAACATAGGTATTTTTATTTTATATTTCCATTATTGTCTCTTTATATACAGAGAAACTTGCTTAATTGTACACGTGTAATAGATGTTCGATATGCTTGTAGGAAATTGGGGACTACCAAAATTCAATAAACTGGTTCTGGACATAAGTAGTCTCTTTTTTTTTTGAAGTACACATGTTTATAAATTGGTATTAAATTATATAAAGTTTATGATATTTAATTTTAATAAATTTATTGATTACATATTTTTTTTGTTAATTATGTTGATCAAAAGTACTAATTATAATCTCAAGTCTAGTTTTTATAGTGGCGAATTTAATGGGTTGTTTGGGTGGTGAAATATAAACCATTTAATTCATTGAACTAAAGAAAACTTTTTCAGATTTGCATAAAATCTGAAAAAGTATTAATTTCACTATAGTGGGTTTATTTTATTTTTTGTGTCAATTAATACTTATTCTCAGTACTCACTGAACCAATTTCAATGAAAGATAGTCAAAAGACATCAAGTTGAAGACATTACCCTAGATAATTTGAAAAATTTATCTCATTTCTGAGTAAGGAAATACAAAAACGAGAATTATCACACAAAAATAGCATTTGGTAGCAATGTTCACCGTAAAGACAAATTAAGTCCGAATTTTTTTTTTCCATGATAAAGTATTTTACAGTAGCTTTAATTTAAGATATATGTATAAAAGTGTCAGACTTTCCGGAAAACTTTCAAAAAGTTAATTTGAAAGATTTGAAAATAGAGCGAAAAGTTAATTTTGTTGACCAGTGAATTTATTCAAAAGTAAAAAAAAAATGTTTTTATAAAGTATTGCATCGAAACCTTAATTTTTATACATGTTTGTTATAGAAATAACAAAATATACTAAATATATTATTTTTTATTTTTCTATATTATTTCATTACAATATTAAATATTAATATCATACTAAATTTAATTGCTATAATAAGTATTTATTCATAAATTATATTTTTAAATCTGAAAACTACTAATTAGTAAAAAATTAAGGAAATAGAAGTTGATGTTCCTTCGAAGATTTGCATCGAAGCTTCTCTTATGATCGTGAATATAATCACTGTCAGATATCATCTATAATTGCTCTAACTCTCCCACGTCCAAACTGTGCCACGACTCCACTATGGTACCGATTTTTAATGATATACCTAGAGACAATTATAAAGAATTGTTGAACTAGTTATTGTATTTTTGAGTGGTAACCACCTAAAGGAATTTACTTTCTACGTCCAGGAGCTTATCATCTTGCTAGGTGGATGTGTAAAGGAATCGAAACCGTATATACTCAAGTGCCGCGCACACAAAACAAAAATAATGTAGACGACACAAGTTCGAGGTTAATTGAAAGGCGTCAAGCCGTTTATTAGCAGAAGATTGTAAAAACAAACGAAACAAAAAAATAACACTGCTACAAAAGATTTCACAATATGAAACAAATGCTGATGATTTAGACAAATAGATGTAACTAGTTGTTCGTGGATCAGACGACGGTACGTTTGGTGGTTTCACGAAGATGACTAACTGGACGTATTATGGCGGTGGGGTATTCGACGCTAGGCATTTGTTGGACTTTACACCACGACGATAACGCGTGTGTCTAACGGTCCGGTTTACAGTGAAGCGGTGGCTGAGAAGGAGCTAACACGACCGCGGGGTGTCAGAATTTATTATTTAAAAATGCTAATATTTCAAGACAATTTAAAATAACAAAAGCATAAACTGTGTTATTAAAAACTATGTGTTGTTTTATAGTCAAGTATTAAATAGAATTTTTGTTTAGGTGTCCAGATGCCATAAAAGCACCTTTTAGATTCGATGAGAAGTTGAGAAGGTATTAATTTTACTATTTTTTACTACTTTTTTTTTCTTCTTTTTGTGACAGTTATCACTTTTTCTCAGCTCTCACCGAACAAATTTCTTTCAACGATACGTCAAAAGATCACAAATTGTATCTAGTCGAAGACATTACCCTCAAAAATTGAAAAAAATTCCCTCGTTCCCCGTAAATGGGGGAAACCTTCAAAAAAATTACAAATTTAAAAATCGCTAATTTTTTCAATTTTTTCAATTTTTTTTAATTAAAAGTGNTGGGGGAAACCTCCAAAAAAATTACAAATTTAAAAATCGCTAATTTTCTCAATTTTTTCAATTTTTTTTAATTAAAAGTGCCATAACTTTTTCAAAAATAAACATATCAATATAATTCTTTTTTATATAAATGCACAATATCATTACCTTTCATTTGGTATATTTTTTTCATAAATTGAACCCGTAACCTGCCCACAAGGGGGGATTTAAAATGACAACTTTTTTACAAAAAATTAACTTTTTCAATTTAACTTTTGAAAATGTTCCGGAAGGTCTGACACTTTTATATATATCTTAAATTAAAGCTAATGTACTGTTCTTTATTATGCAAAAAAAAATGTTCGGATTTTATTTTATCTTCACGGTGAAAATGGCTACCAAATGCTATNTTATCTTCATGGTGAAAATGGCTACCGAATGCTATTTTTGTGTGAAAATTTTCGATTTTGTATTTTACATTTTTAACTTTATTATGCTATAACTTTTTGAAAAATGTATGGATCAGTACAATTTTTTCATGAGGATCTTTCATTTGACATACTGTTTTTTTAAATCGGACCATTTCCCTATATACGAGGGGGGTTCAAATCTAAAAAATTCATGTAGAAAGTAGAACTTTTTCAACTTAAATTTTGAAAGTGTTCCGGAAGGTCTGACACTTTTATATATATCTTAAATTAAAGCTAATGTAATTTTCTTTATTGTGCAAAAAAAAAAATTGGGACTTTATTTTATCTTCATGGTGAAAACAGACATCAAAGTTTATAAAAAAAATACGATTTTTGTAAAAAAATTTTTTTTTATATTTTTAACTTTATAATGCTATAACTTCTCGAAAGATGTATGGATCAATATAATTCTTTTTTTTGTAGATGCATGATGTCTTTACCTATCATTTGGTATATTTTTTTTATAAATCTGACTTTTTACCTGCCTACAGGGGGGGATTCAAAATGACAACTTTTTCACAAAAAATTAACTTTTTCAACTTAAATTTTGAAAGTGTTCCGGAAAGTCTGACACTTTTATATATATATTAAATTAAAGCTAATGTAATATACTTTATTATGGTAAAAAAAAAATCGTACTTTATTTTATCTTTACGGTGAAAATGGCTACCGAATGCTATTATTGTGTGAACATTCTTGATTTTATTTTTTTCATTTTTAACTTTATAATGCTATGACATATTGAAAAATGTATGGATCAACACAATTTTTTTATGAGAAATAATATTTTTTAATAATCTCTTTTTCATTCGACATACTGTATCTTAATTAGGATATTAATAATGAACTAGCAGATCATGTAACTTTTGGAATAATCCACCAATTTTTTAAAATTAAACACTATCTAAAGATTTGCACCGAAGCGTTTTTTTTTTTATAGTGATTTTAATCACTGTCAGATATCATTATACTTGATCCATCTATACCACGTCACCACTGTGCCGCGACCCCCCTGTGCTGGGTTTTTTTTTTTTGTTGTTCATCACTTTGGTTTCTAACAGAAAAATTCTATAGCATGTTTACTAAAGTAAAAAACGCTAGCACAGTATGTCACGGCACTATATGAACGTGGTTGGGTTGGGACAAGTATAGATGATATCTGACAGTTATTAAAATCACTATCATAAGAAACTCTTCGATACAAATCTGTAGACAGTGATTAATTTTAAAAAATTGGTAGATTATTTTAAAAACAATAATAACTATTATTTCCTTATCTTTATCCCGATTAGTGACTTGATTTATAATTATTATATATGAATAAATAATAATTTTAGTATAAAATTGATATTCAATAATATAATTTTGTAATTTTTACGGAGGTATTATAAAAATAATAAAGTAGTTGTAAATTTCTTTACTTTTAACGTGTATAAAAATTTAAAGAGCTTGACGCAATACTTTTCAATAAAAAATGTTTGTTACTTATAATAAAGTTATACGTTTTATGCACTGAACTACAAGGAACAAAATTATATCAGAAACAAAATTGTACTTTTCTAAATCAACCATTCGCGATGTTTTCAAATATGCAATTAAACTTTTTCTATCACTTATAAGTTTTAATATTATTACTTATTATTAAAAAATAAGTATTTACAAATAAAAAAAATAATAATTAAGAAAAAACAAAAATTGTTTTAAATTAATTATTAACTTGTTTATTAATATGTTAAAAATAAGGAAAACTACATATTTAACCTATTTTTTTAATCCTTTAAAGTTGATTTTTGTTAAAGTTTATAGTAAAAAGACATTGATTTATTACCATAACTTTTAGCTCAATTGGCAAGTTTAAAATTGACATCATTAAATAGAAAATTTTATGAAAATTAAAAAAATTGTATTGTTAAGATTAATATGCAGTCAGGAAATTGTATAATTGCTATTTATAGTAAATTTATCAGAAAAGTTCAATATTTTTTTGCATTTTTAACGTAATAGATAATTGAAATATAAATAATAGTAATCATTTCCTATTAACTTTTGGCGTTTAAAAATATTCTACAATTGAAATATTCAGAAGTTAATTAATTTTAATGATTTACTTTAATTAAAAGAATCAATCATAACAAAGTTGTTAAAAAAATTTACTCAATTGAGCGTATTATAAAATTTGATTATAATTGTAAAAAGCCATTATTAATTCAGGAGAAACTAACAATCATTTTTTTTTAGAAATGATTTATATAGCAACATGTTATAAAAAAATTTGGAATATTATAGACTGGTAGTAGCACATAAAATAGAGTTAAAAAATTTATAAATTACAAAGTAAAATTATTTACTTTTGTATTGGAACACTTTTATCATATCTAATCTAATTCGACAATAAATACTTAAAAAATATTAGAAATGAATAATTTTAATTGTTTGTATAGAAAAAACTGGTTAAGCTACTTTTTTTGGAATAACGAATATTTTTTCAATTTTTAAGGGTAATGTCTTCAACTAATTACGAATTGTAATCATTTGACGTATCGTTGAAAAAAGTAGGTCTAGTGAGGATTTGCAAAATAAATCATAGCCACAAAAAGAACCACATAGTAAAATAATATTAACATGAATAAGAAATTTCTTCTCGCGAGGGGAGACTATAGTGATAGGATACTTTATATTTATTTAAGTTATTGAATCTAAATGAGATAAAAATTAAATGATCTGAAGACTTTTTTCTAACTCAAGAAATTGCAAAATATTAAATTGCTACAGGCAGATTCGAACCTTGTACCCTAATGGTGAAAGAAACAAGTGTTACCGATTCGGCAACTGTTCGTTGCTTTCGTCGCGAGATAAAATTAGCAATTTAAGCTGATTCAAATTAAAAAAATTAGATTTTTTACTTTAAAAAAGTAAAAAAAAAATTAATAAGATTAATTTCTTATGTCTTATGAACTTTATTCTATGTCAATATAATTATATAATATTCATGAAAGTCAGTGTATTCCCCTTATTAAATATGTTAAACTAAAATAAAATACAAAACCCAGAATTTTAATACAAAAATAGCATTTTTTTAACTACGGCAGCCGTTTGCACATAGAAAATAAGGTTTCGGGACAAATTTATTTTTTGATTTTTTAGTACACGACATAAGCTTTTATTTGATGCATGTTTAAAGGACGCATCATTTCCGGAACATTTTCAAAATTTACGTCGAAAAAGGTTAGTTTTTGTAAAAATTTTCTATTTTAAATCTCCCCAACGGAATAAGTATTAGATTTACAAAAAATTATATCAAATAAAAGGTAAAAATCTAAGGTTCTAATATAAAAAAAATTAGGTTGATTTGTTAATTTTTAAAAAAGTTATGATAGTTTTAAGTAAAAATAGTAAAAAAAATGACAAAATTTACCGATTTTAAAAATTGTAATTTTTTTGGAAATTTCTGCCATTTACGGGGAACGAGGGAAATTTTTAAAATTTTTAAGGGTAATGTCTTCAACTAGATTTGTGATGTTTTGACTTTTTTTTCATCGAAATCGGTCTAGTGATAGCTGAGAAAAAGTGGGAACAGACAAAAAAAATTATGGTAAAATTAATACTATCTCAGCTTCGCATCAAAGCTAAAAAATTAAGTACCCTTCTAAAATAATTTCTGAATACGTCCTAGGGGAATACCTCAGTAACAAACGTTTACTTTATACCCAATAAATTTTACTATTTTCTCTTTTTGAATTTTCCTGAATTTAAAAATTACATTTTTAATATATTTTAGTTAATTTAGGATTATGATTTGATATATATATTGTAAATCACTTATCGTGTCAGGCGTAGCCAGGTACTCCTACTGGAATCAGTGGCTTACTTACGAGGATTACCTAAAGAGGTTAACACTCTCTTTTAAATATTTAATATTAATTAATTTTTTTTTTTAATTACTCGATGACTAATTAAGCATTTTTATAACACATACAAAATTTCTTACAGTGGCATGAGGTGACTCCTTCTTATTTAGGGACAATCACGTATCCAGCATTTTAAAGTTTAGATGGGCGACTTTAAATCAATAATAATATATAAAAAATTATTATTTATAACATTAAAAAATTTTTTTAATTTCATATTTTAAAAATAAAGTTAATTGTACTTCAAATTTAAATAAAGAGATTAAGAAAGTAATAGCAAAAGAAAATAGATGAACGAATAATAAAAATTATTTCTTTTTATTAAAATTAATATTATATTAATATTAATAACATCGCCGTTACCACAAAAATACTTCCTATGTGCCAACTTTACATATTTATATTACTGAATTCAAATGTACTGTATTCTGTTTCTATTAACTTAAAAATTTTCTCTAATTTTTCCATTATAATAGATAATTCTGTTGGTATAGTCTCAAAAGCGTATGGAATGTCGTCGTTTTCATGAGGTTTAGGAAATCCCTCAAATGTATATTCAATTAAATTATCTTGTGATAATGGGCTTGTACTTGTGAATAATTTTGAGTATTTTTCCATCAAGTTTTTGATAATTTGCTTACAGTTTTCTGCTTTATCAGGTTCAAATATATTAAAATCAATACGTAGGTCATAAAGTATGTTATTGATTTCTTTATTTTTGATTTGTGCGTTTCTCAATAGTTTAAAACATTTTTTAACTAATTCCCATTTTATTTTTGCATCATAGTGAATTAATAGTGTCCTATAGACATATACGACTAGTAAAAATGCATACTTAAAAGTTCGATTATCAATGATTTTTAGTGCTTCCTTAATAGTAAATGCAACATTTTTATTATATGTTGTTGAGTTATTGATGAAATCTTCAAGTGTTATATTGGATTGAGTAGAAGTAGAAGTAGAAGCAATGGGAACTTTCTCCTCTTTGGCATATTTCCATAAAGACAGATTTTCTATTGTATTCAGTTGACTTTTTATATTTTTATCATAAACCGTAGAATGAGCTAAAGTTCTATTACTAGAAAGATTACTCTCCTGTAAAAAATAAATTTATAATTTTTATCAAATTGAAGTTTAATCATCATTCTTCATTGAAAAAATATTTTATAGGGACTATCATAAAAAATTTAACGGTAGCAAACGTTTAGTTTAGGTTAAAAATTAAAATAATTTGATTTTAAAAGTTTTTATATAAGGAATAAAGTCATCGGTTCTATAGCTGGGTAAAGAAACATCAATGCTGAATATAGAAACTAGTATGGTCGTAAAATATAAATGTAGTTAAAGGAATAATCTATCTGTAATAGTAGAAGTATTATAAAGTAAAATTAAAATTTCAGTAAATTGCAATATTTATTAAAGATTATTTTGATTACATTCTTATATGAAATTAAGATATCACTCAAAAAAATTTTGATATAGAATTAAAACTCGTATTAATGTTTATCATTATCAAAAAACGCTTTGATGCAATTATGCAATAAGAAAATGCAAAATAAAAATAAAAAATAATTTAACAGTAATTCTACAAATTTTTGTTTAATTAATTAAAGAAGGGATATTTTTCTTTTTTTTTCTATTTTAAAAATTGCTTTTACAATAGAAATTTCATTATAATCTGTTTTATTTTCAAAACGCTATTTTAATATAAATCGAAATATAACAATATCAATATAACTTTGTATAAAAATTATAATTATTACAAGAACTATAACTTTTTAGGTTATATCCTTTTGTTATAGAGAATGGTGGGATTTCTATCAATTTATAACACTAATAGATTTAATTAGATATTATTCGTGATATTTTGACAAGTGATTGAACAAAATTGGTCCAGTTTGAACAGAATATTTATATTAACAGAAAATACACGATATTATAAAACCAACAATTTCTTAGCTACCCATGTACTTTAATACCCAATTACCAATTATATGAGTTATAACATAAATAATATAGGTGATCCACGTAACTATACTACAGAATTATTATTTGAAAAAGTAAAATTTGGTTTTGATATCTTTAACCTCGACATTTCATATCTCAAAAGAACTATGTCGCAACAATTTTTTATGAAAACCCTTATGAATTTGAAAAACGTTTTAAGGATAATATTATTATTAACCTACAAATTAATAACCAAATGATAATTAAATTATATATTAATATAAACTGAAAAATATTTTTCATTCATTCTGAGCTCTTCACTTGTTATTTACCAATTTCTGTATTTGAGAGTTTAAATATTTTATTAATTTTAATCTTAACAAAAAAAAGCTATTAAATATTTATGAGATATGTTTTTATAACGTGTTTTAATATTTACGAGAATTTCATTGAAAAAAATTATTTATATCGAGCCTTATTTACATACGTATGCATTTTGTAAGTAGTTCCGCATTTACTTTAAAGTTAATATTATTCACAATATATTTAAATTTAAAATCATGTAGACGCAAATATTTTGAACGTATTAATAAACTTACATAGATTTTAATTATATTAATTTCTATTTTGGAATCTAAATTTTTAATTGATGATTGCAATTTATTAATATCAACTTCTGCAAATAAAACAATTTCATAATATGATAATTTACTAAAAAATGTTCAATGATTTTCTATATTATCATAATGATACATTAATATTAAACATGATATTTACTTACCATTGTATTTGTATTTGTATTTTTCATTATTTAAAATGATGTTATTTTCTCCAAACGTCTTAAAAATACAAATAACAGTGATTAAAAATAATATTTTATATTATCTACAGGGCCAAAAGCATTAAGGAATCTTTATTTTGGAAGGACTAAATAATTTGAAAGAAATTTTAGGAAAGATCAGGAAGATATAATTTATGTAAAAATTATGAAAGTTCACTTAAGTAATTTAATAGGATCATTGCATAATCAGAGTCAATAACTTAAATTAATGTAAAACTGTGTTTTTATTGCGGCTAACACTTTTCTTTATACAATATAATTTTTCACATATTAATGTTCCTGTTATACTATACTCTTTGTAACACTACATGACTGTACGACACATCATGTCAGAAAGAGTCACAAAAGTATAACAAATCCAATAATTCTTGATTCAAGAATCATTTTATGTATTTTTTTTTTAACAATTTTAGTATTTTTACTTATTTATCTTTAATAAAAAAAAAATTTTTACATTAATTTTTTGAATTTTTTCCGAATTTCAAAATAGCTATTTTGAACTTTTTTTTGAAAAAAATTTGATAGATCAATAACATATTTCGGACAAATACTTTTTGAGTTTCAAGCATTTCAATACATTGAGTAGGTATGTGAACGTATTTCGCAAAAGTGGGTAATCTCCAAAATGGATTGTTCTGATGGACTTATTGGTAACAAATAAGAATAATTATGCTTTTAACGTAGTCATAAATAAAGTTAGTCATAAAATGAAACAATTTAAAATAAAAATAATAATGAACACTTTTGGAACCTAATTAATTGAAATTGCGATCTTAATAATTCATTCTGTATGAATTTCTAAACAAATTTCTTTTAGATTTTATCACTAGATAATTTTAGGTCGCACTCCTTCTGCTTAGGTATATAAGTTAGTTAATAACTACGATTGACTCAGTAAATAACAATTTAATAACATTTGATTCAAAATTGATATCGACCAATCATTTTCATAAATAGATAATTTTATATTATTTAAGTTAGTTAAATATATATGTTCCTATTAAAAATAAATAATATTTACACTATCCAACTATTATAAGTTATAATGAAAGTACCTAAAAATTATATTATTACAGATAAATAGAGATATATGTGTAGGTAATTAGCAAAAGCCAAAAAAAATGTTTTAAGAATAATCATCATTATAAGAGGTTTTGATTGGCTTATGTTAAATTAGTAATCCTGTATTGACTGTATCTGGTATTAAATGAAATGTGTGTTTATTGGAACATTAAGAAGCATTCAAAATACAATTAAATAGTAAAGAAACATTCTTAAAATTGCATTTTATGTAAAGGATACTTTAATTTTATCAATATTATATGTGTTGGTGGGCGTGGTGTGGCGCGGTGGTCACACTAGTTGCTGACAAAACTCTAGTGTTAAGCCGCGCCTACCGCCATAGTAGAACAGATGGGTGACCATGCGTGCGCTTCTACGAAGGCAAAAAAGCTCCAAGTTCCTAGTGCAGAAGGCACAGGGAAAACCACTGCACTTAACATTCCCCGAGCATATACCAATCCAGTTGGTTATACGACAAGGCTTAACCTTTAGAAGACAAAAAATATATGTTATCGATAGCTTCGAGTATTGTGTATACACTTTATTTATATTGATTGATACACAATAAAAGTTGACACGCTTAAAATGTATAGAGAAAGAACATGAAAAATACTTCATGATTGATAAATTAACTAAAACACGAAACTCAAAGAAATAAAAAAAAATGATTGTTAATATTATACTTATTTTTGAATAATTAGGTGATTAACATTAAAATAATAACCTTGTATGTATGTTTTAATGATATGATGACTTATAAATGTAAAAAAATTATATGATTAAATATTCAACATTATAGTAAAAGTTACATACGATTTTAATCGTTTTTTTGTTACTTGCAGTTTTAACACCACGTTTAAACTAAAAAAATAAATAAATAACGATACTTTATCAATTAATTTCTACAATACAATATTTAATATACAATAAATATTGTATATTAAATATTATTATTATTATTATATATATCTACAAGCTTAAGATATTTTATAGAAAGACTTCGAATAATGAATATTATTACCACCCAGTCCCATCAAAATAAAAATGTACCTATAATAAGTTGTAATGTTGCAGAATTTATACAAGTTTTTGTTTAATAAATCTTATCAATTAGATGTGTGTGCAGTAGGTGTAAAGTACTTTAATAATTTTATATATGATAACCTCCACTAGTCAACCGGTCCGATATCTGTCATCCTATCGTCATCAGCTGACCGTACACTATGCAGCTATACCCATATTGTTGTATTTCCCCCAATGGACGTGGCAAAGTTGGTACCACCACCACCCGGCGTCACAATCAGCGGCACTACAAATGTCGCGACAACGGATATTTTTTTTTTACTATACTACAAATAAAACGTTGAGTCAACCTGCCGTCTACTTGTGGTGTCAACCAGGCTGTATTTTTTTGTCCTCCGTTTTTTTTAAATAAAACGTTGAGATGCCAATGATGATGTGAGGCACAACTATGGCCGGTGGTGGGCCGTCATTCCACAAAACAATCAACAACAATAAGTATCAATAAACTCCCCCTGTTCTACCCCATTATTAATATTATGTATATAGCACCTCTTTTTGCTTCCTTTTTTATTATTCTTTCCTTATGAATATATATATATTTAAAATAATAATTATAAATTTTCAATAATTAAAAAAGAAAAAATATTATATTATACATGGCCTTTATCTTTTTATTAACATTTTTTTTTTTATCAAAACCTAGTAGCTCCGTCAACAAGTACTATCTTGCTTGGCGCGGCTACTAGGTCACTGCCCAGTGTTCCCCCTGGGCAGTGGGTAATTAGTAGGCCCTCTGTTTTGGCTAAAACCTTACAAAGTAAAATTGGGAAGGAGGTTGATTTTTACTCTCTTTCGCTATGCATATTTTTTATTAAATACTTGCATAATTGATATCAATTTCTGCAAAAACTTTTTTCTTATTCACGAATACCTGAAATCAAATATAATATATAGTTATAACATAATTATTCTGTTTGGTAATAATCAAAAACATTATTTTGGCGAGGACTTACTTAAAATAAACACCATTTTGTAAAACAAAGCTCATAAGTCACAAAAATGGGTTTATAAGATTTATATAACATTTTGTCGTAACACAAAATAGCCTATAGTCTCAGAGCGTAGAGTAGTGTGGATACAAATATAATATGTCTGCTGCCTGGATATTCACGTATGTATGATCATATAGCAGTTACTGTGTTCGGCTGACACTCAGGAATAGCTGTTGGTGTCTAAAGGCCGTTGTTATAGGAATCAAATATGGGTAACACCTAAGTGTGAGGTGCAGAAGAAGTACAAGACACAAGTACTCTAAGATATAGAAGGCAAAAGTAGGTAAGTGAAAACGGAAGAACAAAGACTTGACTTAAACAGTAGCCAGACAGCATCAACCGAGTACTGAGACTGATGAATGACGCAAAGCACTGGAATCGACTGACCACGATGGCCAGGTCCTATAGGTTTAAATAGTAAGTCAGACGATTGCCAATTTTGCATTAATTATTAATCGTCAATTCATCAATCACTAGACTTGGATGCGCTGTCAGTGTTTTGTTATAATAATTCTTTACATTAATGGTAACGTGACACCGTCACAGTATACAGAGAAGAGTGTTTTCTGTCTTAAGTTAAAAATTATAGGACAAATTATCAGGAATGATTATTTCTTGTACAACTAAAAATAGTCTTCTTAGACTACGTTAAAGTATTTATCACTAATGAAAAAAATATAATAGAGAAATATTTCGATGGATCGATAACAATTTTAGAACAAGTACTTACTTACTATGTGCTCTTATTGACAGCTGACCGATAATAATGTTTGTTTATAATTATCAATAATAGTAGCCACCGTACAAAAAATCTACTAACAATGTAACAATGTGGATTATATGATATTTGAACAGCTATCGGTATACTATTAAAGTGCACTAGGACGAACAAGCTACCTGAATCGAGCGATTTATTGTAATCTCTGTACATCTCGAACTCGATTGTACTTTTTTCCACCAATAACTCAGCTATGTAATGATATACATAGTACATCATTAATATCATAATAAATTATTTTTATACACATTAAATCATTAATGTCATAATGTAGTATTTAAGACTTCAATCAATCAATTACACAAAATAAAATGTATACCAATAAAAATAAGATATATATAAATATGTACCTTTTAAATGTTTAAATATACTAATGAAATTTCGTAAAAAAAAGCATATATTAATTATATAAAACAAATAGGAAATAATAAACAATATGTAATGGTAGCACATAAGATGAAGCGTAATAAATAGTGATGGAAAATATCGAATAGTAACTATCGAACTATTCGATAGTAGTCCACTATTCGAACTATTCGATAGTAGTCCACTATTCGAACTATTCGATAGTTGTCCACTATTCGAACTATTCGATAGTCATTCAAAAACTATTCGAATATTTTTTAAAACTATTCGATAGTCCATTCGAATATTTTTAAAAACTATTCGGTACCTCCATTCGAATATTTTTTAAAATATTTGAAAATGCCCATCACTAATTTTTTTTATTATTAATTGTATCCTATTTATAATCGTAGTACCCTGAATAAACAGTTTTAAACAATCTTATTTAGTCGTTAGTGTTATTAAAACAGCAAAACTATAAATCTGACTATAATTTTACATAAGACCAATGTTTTAAAAAATTTAACTTGACATATTTTTTTTACGAAACATTTTGTTGTAAAATGATTATTTCGAGAATTAAGAATGATTTATGCTCAAAAAATGAAGTTTAACAAATTATTTTTTTATTTTATTTTTTTGAGCAAGTAAAAATAATTTTAGAAAATTTTTGTGAATATAATTTTAGAAGAAAATATTAAAATCTCTAATTTATATTCTATACATTGTTACGCTAAGTGTTCAATGATTAACCGACTAATAAAAATAGTTCACATAATTTTTAAAGAGGAGCAGTATTTATTGTTGTCGCCACTTTTACAAACGTAAAAATTTAAAACGCGCTGTCCTCTTTATCGGTATTATGCCTTTATATGACAAAAGAGCAGGTAATGCTAGACTAAGAACAGTATACAAGGTGTTAAGTGTAAAATGAGTCTTTAGTATTTACGAATACTTCTGTTGCGCATATAACAAACCTTTCCGATAAAACTGAAAATATATCATTAGTCATCGGAAAAAAGAACTGCTTTTTAATTTTCAACCCATATTTATCAATTTTTACCAACGACTCACAAACTAAAAATAAATAAAATGGTACTTTTTACTGTTATTAATTGTATAATAATTTATTTTAAGTATTTGTTAATTATCTTCTTATTATAATTAAGTGTACTTTATAAAAATTTTAGTTAGAACTAATCGAATATTTTTTGAAACCATTCGCTAGCCCATTCGAATATTTTTAAAAACCTTTTCGATAGTCTATTTGAATAGTTTATGCTAAAAACACACTATTCGGTTGTATAAAAACAATTCGAATAGTATTCGATAGTTTTTTAAAACTATCGAATAGTATTCGATAGTTTAAAATATTCGAAAATGCCCATCACTAGTAATAAACTGTCTAATTTATTATATAAGATATAATAGTATTTTATAATATGTAGATCATTATTGATGAAAATGTAATAAATAACAAGTAACAAATTACGTTTAATAAAGAAATAATAGTGGCGTCGGTGATCACTTCTTGCCTTTGAACCATGATCAAATTTAATATAAAAAGCCAAAAATAAAGAGCGTTCTGGGAAAGATGCAGTCAGATATTCACAGAGGCACTCACTACGCTCGATCATTCCACACAACGAAATGTAGCGACTAACGTCGTGATAAAACGAAGAAAGAAATCAAAACAGCAACGGTTCGTTCTATAGGTGGCGTAAAGCCGTTTAATGATAGAAAAGTGTTAACACAAAGAATGAAAGGAAAACCAAAGTAACAATAATACTAAGTATTGAACAGTTACACTGAGAAGGTTTCGTAGATAGCTGTATAAAATGATCGAAACTGTGGTGGCGGTTCGGTTGGATTCACGAACGGTGTCACGAAGATGACTGACTCGACGTATTATTGCGACGGGGTATTCGACGTTAGGCATTTGTTGGACTTAACACCACGACGATAACGCGTGTGTGTAACGGTCCGGTTTACAGTGAAGCGGAGGCTGAGAAGGAGCTGATACGACCGCGGGGTGTCAAACGTGTGACAAAACCGTGACCGTGTCAGAAATATATGCGAGAAGTGATCCGCTGTCAACACAATTATATTTGTTCAAAAAAATACAACATCTATTTATTTAAGAGTATCGCAGAAAATATCAAGGTGGGAATCTAATAAATTCATCAAAAATAAATAAGGTTTAGAATTAAATTTTATGAGTACATAGATTAAATAGACATACAGGAAAATCAAGTGATTATCAATAATAATAAATATACTAAGTAAATTTAATAAATCGATAATGTTTGTACAGAGTTATTTGGCAGAGTTAAATCTTAGATACGTGTCTATTTCAGGAGTTAAGTAGGAGGTTTATTTATACTACTATGGGAGGTGACTCGTATGACGACCTATCATCGATAACCGTCAAAACTCGTGGCATTATTGATATTTAAAAATTGACAATTAATTATAATGAATATTAATAAAATAAAGATCACTTTATTTTTCTATCATCTTCTATCTTTCTTACAGACCCTCGTACTCATACCCCGAGTAATAATACTATTAATACAATAAAGTAGTGGATCAAATAAGAACCCAAATCCCGTCATATTCTATTTAATTTATTTCTTTTAAGTAACTTTCAAAATACTCCCTAAATTAATATACAAGTAATAACTCCCTCACATTATTAATACAATAAAGTATTTTTTCTTTTCTTTTTTTTTTTGATTCACTACAGCTAGAAACATGAACCCCAAAGCGTCAGGCATAGGACACCGTAAGACAACCTAAGTGATTTGTTTCATTGGTTCCTGAGCCAGTCATCACTACTTTTAGCAAATACTTAAGGGTATTTGCCATTAAAAAAATTTAAGTACGTATTAATGTATTTTACAGTTAGAAATTATTTAAAAATGAAATATTATAATCGTTAAATAATGCAGCAAGTGTAAATTTAAATGTTTTGTATATTCTTAAGATTTTTAAAGATTAATAGTTTCAGTTAAGAAAACAATTTTTATATATTAAAAGGTTACAGTTAATGACTAAAAACCCTCATTAGTTATGGAATAGTTGTGAAATTACAATTATAAATTGTTCCATTATATATTTATTTTTATATTTGTTACAAACAAAATTCGCTCATTTTTCTAACTAAATATATAGTTATTTATTTTTATTAGATAGTCAACCCACGTATAATTAAAACGTGAAAACTAAAAACGCGGTATTTCCTCAAATAATATTTATTTAACTTCGATGAAAAGTTGAGGATTTAATGGTATTGTGCTGGTGTGTGTTTTTTTATGTCGGTCATAAAAATTCTCAACCCTCATTGGACAAATTTTATTGATCATTACGTCAATATAACTCAAATTTGATCTAGTGAAAAAATATCTTTGAATTAAAATTAAGTAGGAAATGGAATTTTCAAAAAAAAATTTCTGCATTTCAAAATGCAATAACTTTAATGTCAAAAATCATAATTTTCTTTCGTTTTTCGATTATTATTTCAGAAATACACTGATCCGATTTCTAGAACCAATAATTTTTTTTTTAGTATACTTATTCTGAAAGTTCTATAAAAATTCAAAGTGCATGAACGAATTGAAAGACACTAATCACATATGTCATATACGCTACTTAGCGAACAAACAATCGATATGTTAAAATCAAAATATTCAAATTTCAATTTGTTGATTTTGAGATTTGAAAAATTTTTAATTTAAAAAACTTACTCCCGTTTTAATTTTTTTGGTAATTAAAAGTAATGTAATGCCAATAGTGATGTCAAACTTTGTACACATATTTAGCAGGTGGAGATGACACATTTTTTTGTTATTACAACTTAAAAATACAAGTATACAGAATTTTAAAGTGTGCATCATTATCCCGCATTCTTCTATCATTAAAACCTATTACAATGTCTACTTAAAATTAATTCTTACGATATTTAATGGCCCACACTTCAAAACCTAAAATAAAAATAAAAATTGAATGATAAAAAGTTTTTATTTATCATTGTAAAATGATATCACAACATAAGTAGTAACAATTAACAAAAAAACATACTTTTGAAGATTTGTAACAACCAGGTATAGTAATCATTTTAGCGTCATTACACTGTAATATAACCAATTAATGTTAATAAGACAGATTTTAAATTATAAATAGTTTAATTCATGGATATTAATAAATAAACCTAATATTGACTGATACTTACATAATCATCTTTATCCGTTCGATGTATAATATCCATCACACCTTCCTTTATAAACATAAACACAATAGATTTGAAAATTTGCTATACACATTTGACATTGTTAATTACAGTAAGCATATAAGATTATTCGTTTCAAAAATAATAATTTAAGATGTTTATGAAGAAGAAAAATATATAATGATTTTCTTAGTTCTAAGAAAGTGTTACGTATGAAATTTTACACTAACAAATGTCAAATGAAAATTAAATAAAAAGCATCTTAACTATAATATTAAATTAAGTATCACTTAATAAACTTTTCAAATTACTTCACCAATTAAAATTATGTTTCCAAAAACATCACCAAAATAAAAATCAATTACAAAAATTAAAACAAAAGAATATGTTTTGTAAATCATTTCTTAAGAATATTAAAATTTAAACTGTATAAATGATCAACTTATATCATAAAATTATTTTGTTAATTTTCCATTAAATTTTTGCATTTTTATACGTATTTAAGCAAATAAAATATTAAAAATAAGTGAAAATTATTTTAAACTGTAATAAATTAACATATTTTTCATATTATCGATGACAAAAAATATATAATTTATGTTGTAACTATGCGTAACGTGTGAAAAAAATTGCTGTTTATTTTTGCATTAAAAATGTATGAAACTATACTATTATTATTTATTATAGTATGAATAATAATGATAGTTTAATATATTTATTTTTAGTAATATATGCTTTATTTTAATTTTTGGCGTCATTCGATTCATCTATATTGAAATGACGCTTGGATTATCGGTCCAGTGAGAGCTGAGAATTTTCATGGACAAACGTAAAATAAATTAACACAGTTGCAAAAAAAATGAATAAATAAAAATAAATAACTGAGAAAGGAATTAACCTTTTCAGCTTCCTATTAAAGTTTCTAACACTTTTCTCTGAAAATGTTAATTTTCATAAATACCAAATAGATAGTAATTAGATTTATATGATAAGTTAACTTTATAGGGAAATTTGTAATATTTATATTATTATTACTTTTTAGCTTCGATGCGAAGCTGAGAAGGTATTGGTTTTACTAAGGTGTGTTTTTTCTTTTTGTGACTGTTACCACTTTTTCTCAGCTCTCACTGAACCAATTTCTTTCAATGATACGTCAAAATATCACAAATGGTATCTAGTCGAAGACATTACCCTCAAAAATTGAAACAATTTCCCCTCGTTTTCAGTAAATGACATAAACCTCCAAAAAAATTACAAATTTAAAAATCGCTAATTTTCGAAATTTTTAACATTTTTTTTTACTAAAAACTGCAATAACTTTTTCAAAAAAGAACAAATTAATATAATTTTTTTTTTTATAAATGCTTGATGTTTTTACCTATCATTTGGTATATTTTTTTTATAAATTTAACCCTTTACCAGCCCACAGGAAGTTTTCAAAATGACAACTTTTTCACAAAAAATTAACCTATTCAACTTTACTTTTAAAAGTGTTCTGGAAATAATGACACTTTTATATATATCTTAAATTAAAGTTAATGTAATATACTTTATCATGAAAAAATAAATTTTGGACTTTATTTTATCTCCATGGTGAAAACAGACATCAAACTTAATAAAAAAAATACGATTTTTGTAAAAAAAATTTTTTTTATATTTTTAACTTTATAATACTATAACTTTTTGAATCAATATAATTCTTTTTTTTATGGATGCATGATGTCTTTACCTATCATATGGTATATTATTTTTATAAATCTGACTTTTTACCTGCATACAGGGGGGATTCAAAATGACAACTTTTTCACAAACAATTTACTTTTTCAACTTAAATTTTGAAAGTGTTCCGGAAATACTGACACATTTATATATATCTTAAATTAAAACTTATGTAATATACTTTATTATGGAAAAAAAAATTTTGGACTTTATTTTATCTTCACGGTGAAAATGGCTACCGAATGCTATTTTTGTGTGAAAATTTTCGATTTTGTATTTTACATTTTTAACTTTATAATGCTATAACTTATTGAAAACTGTATTGATCAATATAATTTTTCTATGTGAAATAATATTTTTTAATAATCCCTTTTCATTCGACATACTTTATCTTAATCAGAATATTAATGAGGAACTAGCAGATCATATAGCTTTTGGAATAATCTACCAATTTTTAAAATTAATCACTATCTAAAGATTTGCATCGAAGCGTTTTTTTTATAGTGATTTTAATCACTGTCAAATATCATAATACTTGATCCAACTATGCTACGTCAATACTGTGCCGCGACCCCTCTGTGCTAGGTTTTTTTTAAACGAAACTAATATGGTTTGAACAACACGTATGCTTTAATATAATAATTTGGTTGGGATATTTTTAACACAAAGTGATACATATTAGTAAAAATTTAATGAAAATAAATTGTTTTTCAGTTTACGATACTCACTTAAACAAATTTCTAAATACGCATTTTCATCTATTTCTGACTTGCTAAACATTACACGTTTAATTTATTTCTTTATTTTTGGAATAATAAAAAATTTATTACCTTAAATTTTAAGAGCTTAAAATTTTTGTAAACGGATTATTAAACAATTTTACAGAAGCAACGAAAAATATTATCTATAATATATAATAAATAATAGCTTATAATAAGATTTTATCATTTTTACATGTATGTCACATATAAATATTCTAAGTCACCAAAATAGTTTCTTTTTAAAATAAAAATTAATGAGCTAATTAAGGGATAAAATAATGTAATTTAATAGTTATGAACCAATTGTTGATGGATATCAAATTATTTGATCATTTTTACATGTTTTTTTATGCAAACAAAATTATAAGAGTAAAATCGAATATATTATATAGATTATACAAATTTGTCATACTTTTATGCTATAATTCAGTCTGTATTTTAAGTTTATAAAAAAATTTTGAAGACTTGACATTTTTTGATTGGATGTTAAGTACAGTAAATTCCGCTTAATATGGGCACGTTGGGACCAGCATTGTTTGCCCACATTAAGCGGTTGCCCATAAAAACTGAATTAGTTAAAAAAATTTTAATGATATCAAAAAAAATTTATTTTACACACGTTAATCATACAATTGAAAAAAATGTTAAATTACCACGTATATTAATTAAATTAAATATAAAATACATTATTTTTAAAAACTTAATACATACATCATACTAAATAAAATTACTTTTTGGGTGTGGAAGGTATACAAAACGTTGTAATTGCTCGTTGTCTAAGCTGTTTTGTGTGGACCAGAGACGCGAACACCACGACTTGTTATTAATGAAAACCACTCACTTAAGCTTCTTCAACTTTGGGATCTTTCCCGTTCCGTTTACGTTTTTGATTGCCAGTTTTTTAATTGAAGTTTTCGCGTAAAATCACTTCTTCTTTTAGCAGTTTCGCCACCGTTGATTTCGGTACGCATAACTTTTACGTTGTGAAGTGCCTGGAGGAAGTGATTTCACTTTGTCCAAAATCGTGATTTTTTTCTTGAGAGAGAGATCTTTTCGAGACATATCGTCGCGTTGAAATTCATGTTAAAACTGAAATACGGGCAAATATTGACGCACAAGATAATACGAGCTGTATTTTTATCGCATCTGACATAATTCCATTAAGGTTATTACTCTCGATAAACATAATCTCATATATATGACGAAACCGGATTAAATACGTCGTTTTAACATACAAAAAATTGCCCACATAAACCGAACCAAGTGCCCATATTATGCGATTTTATTTACCCATGTTGGTATAAATTGGGATTGGATCAGATCATTATGCCCATATTTAGCGGATGCCCATATTAACCGGTGCCCACATTAGGCGGAATCCACTGTATTTATATTAATTAATATTGAATAAAACATTATTTTATTTTTGCATTTTTTTTTTTTAGTCATTGTCGTAACACAAAACAGCAAATAAAGCGTACGAAGAAGATGAGGATGAGCCTGCGTTTTGGTAGCAACATGCGTGTTATCGTACAGCAGTCACCATGCTTGGCTGATACTCCGAGTTAGCCGTGAGTGTCGAAAGGCTGTTTAACAAATTTGTTAATTCCTGTTTATTAACTGTGAAATGTACAAATTTTCAAAAAGTATTTTTTATTTTTTTATAAAATAAAATAAAATGTTAAGTGTGCGAGCAGGGCCGTCCTCAGGCGGGGGGCAAGTAGGGCCCAGGCCATGGGCCTCGCGCTTTTGGGGTCTCGCACAAAAATACCAGACCTAGAAAAATATCGATGGGTAAAAAGAAAAAAAAGGTCATTGAGAAAATTTTCCTACTTGCGCCAGATGATGTAAACTTCCGGCCACTTCTCGAATTTAAAAAAAAAAGAGTAGAATATTACTTGGCAATTTCATTTAAAATTAATTAGTTCTTGTGATTATATTTTTTAAATTTGTATATTTAAAAATACCTGCTATTTAAACAGAAGTAATACATTTGAAATACAATTTCAAACATTATAAAGGTAAACGTAGAAATATTGTATTAAATTTATATAATTTATATGGATTATATAGATCAATTGGTTTACTAATTTATCCATGTTCATTTTTCACTCAACTCGCATATGCACATACACTCGAGATACGCGATTAGACAAGGCAAGTTATTTTAATCGACGAATATCGTAGAAAAATAGTCATAATAATAAAACCATTTATTCACCGAAATAACAAACTGTTTGTACCGGTAATTTTTAGTATGTGTTCGTTTTTCGTGATCGTTGGAGCTTAAATATCGGGTACCAAAATAAAATGAGTGGCCGATTACGTGATAAATATCGAAAATTTAAAAGTGGTGCTGAAAAGCGAAAACTTAAAAATATTCAAAAAAAACAGGATAAACTTTTAAAAAACTCTTTATGTAAATTTTTAAAAAAAGATCAAAATGATTGTGTTGAAGGAAGTAGTAGTCAAGTTAACATTGAAAATAACGAACAAAAATTATTGTTAGATAATATTACTATTGAAACAAAAGAATTACAACCAGTAGCAAGACTGAACAGAATGAAGTAAATGAAAATCTTCAACAACTATCAAAAGATTTACTACTCCAAAAAGATACAGAGAACAAAAAGGTACAGGACGATGAAATTGATTATGACGATCCAGGTAAATGGCAAAATATTACAGTTAAATTACGAGTTTATTTAATAGAGAACTCGCCTTATAAAATTATACATTATAATTTTCCATTAAACGACGAAGGTAGAAAATTCAGCATAACACATTATAATCGAATAATGGGCAACGGTGAAAAAGTGATAAGAAATTGGCTTTTATATTCTAAATCTTTAAATCGAGTTTTTTGTCTCTATTGTCGTTTATTTTCTTCAAATTCAACTTCATCATTGGCGCCAGAAGGATTTTCTAATTGGAAACAGATAATTGAACGTTTAATCCTTAAACAGTCGCGTGGGGGTCTAGTATACCCCCACATAAATAAAAACAGATGTATTATATTGCATAAAAGGTGTACATAGATATAAATTTAGAAGATGGTTTTTATAGTAATATTGAATAGATTTTCATAAATAAATACCTTCGAAAAAAAAATTTGTGACTTAAAATATCCATCAAAATTGAAATGGGTCATATTGACCCCCACGCGACTATGAACGTTATAATTTTTTTTTTGGACTTGTATTTTTTTCAAAATATCGTTTTATCATAAATGCAATGTTATAATCGATAAAATATTAAGGAATTGAGATTATGTGGATCTGCCACCGACTGTGCAATTAAGTTTTAAAAATAAATAATTTATTGAGAATTTCCACTACTCGATGATATGGAACAAATACGAACTAAACATGTAATAAATACATCCCGTCGCAATGTAGACACATTGATTATCGGTGCCTCATTTACAATTACCACTATTCACATTTACCCCTCCTGACCCTACTCATATTATAATAATTATATTGTATTGTAATATAAATAATAAAAAAATTCAATTCAGAAAAATGATTATGTAAATGTAAATACACATAAAACTAGTAAATATAAGCCATGTTTGAGCTCAAAGAAATACAAGAAAAATTAATAAAAATACATTTTGTAATAGTAAAAGCTTTTATTTACTGTCTTAAAAATAATATTTTGCAGTTAAAATCATTTTTTTACAAACCAAAATTTTTAAATGAAATTTTGAAAATTAAGTAATTTTTTTTTTTTTTGTAATATAATTTTTAGTAATGCACATAATTTTGTCATTTATTTATTTTTTAATTTAAATTTTTTAATTGTTATTCATATTTATATATCATATGGTAACAAATAATGTCTTTGAATTAAAAAAAATGAACTTTTTTATACATATTTTATACTTTTTTAGAAATGGGGTCTAATAGACCCCCACGCGACTATGAACGTTAAAAATAGGTATGCGCCTGCTTAAGGGTTAAAAGAGCACGAATTATCTATTTCACATAATATAGCTCAAGAAAAATGGCTACAACTACGTATGAGACTTATTCTCCATACAATTATAGATAATGATATTCAAAGAAATGTAAATATTGAAAAAGAACGTTGGCGTAATAATCTTAAACGAATTATTGCATGTATAGAATTTTTAGCAGAGCATAATGATGCTTTTCGTGGTACAAGTTCTAAGTTATATACAGCTAATAATGGTAAATTTTTAGGCTTACTTCAAATTATTACAAAATTTGATTTAATTATGGCTGATCATTTAAAACGTGTATATAATAATGACATCTATGATCATTATTTAGGTCCTAGGATACAAAATGAACTTATTAATATTATTGCCACAAAAATACGTGATGAAATAATAAATCGAGTAAGACAAAGTAAATATTTCACAATTTTAATAAACCCTGATAAAGGCCACAAGGAGCAGCTTACATTTTTATTGCGCGTTATAGAAATTTCGAAAGTTTTCAAATATGAAATAAATGAATATTTTATATGTTTCATTCATACTACAAGTAAAACTGGTTTGAATTTAACAGAGGAAAAAAAAGCACAATTGAAACTAATGAACATAGATTTAAATAATTTTCGTGGCCAAGCGTATGACAACGGGGCGAATATGATAGGTCATCATCAAGGAGTGCAGTCAAGAATCCTTTCTAAAAACCTAAGAGATTTTTTTGTTCCGTGCATTGCTCACAGCCTTAATTTACTTCTCGGAGATATAGCATTATCCGTACCAGCTGCTATGACATTTTTTGGGGTAATTCAAAGAATTTGTTCTATTTTTTCTGGCTCTACTGAAAGATGGACTATTCTTCTCAAATACGATTCAGATTTTACACTAAAACCAATGTCAGATACTAGATGGGAATCTCGAGTCGGATCGATTAAGCCTATCCGTTTTCAATTATGCCAAGTACATGACGCTTTAATAGAAATTAGTGAATCGACAAAGGATCCTAAAATAAAAAGTGAAAGCTCGTCATTAGCAAACTATGAAATTTGTTATGACTTTATTTTAAGTGTTGTTATTTGGTACGAACTGTTATCTGCTATAAATAAAGTTAGTAAGAGTCTTCAGAGCAAAAACAACCTAGCACAGGGGGGTCGCGGCACAGTGGTGACGTGGCATAGTTGGAAACAATCATAAAAGTAAAAATTTAAAGGAATAATTTATTTACCCTTATTAAATTTATTATCTATTTAATTTACCCATCTACTATCTTTTACTTTTTATAAAACTGTTACAATATCTGCTTTAAATTAATTCTCACCACTTTTAAAGGACCACACATTAAATACTTCTAAAATAAAAAAAAAAGTTGTATAAATTTTTTTATTGTTATTAACATTGCAAAATGATAACACAACCTAAGACGTAACAATACACAATAAAACATACTTCTGGAGGTTTAAAACAATTTGAATACTCTTTCATCTCAGCAATTGAACCCTATAATATAATCATTGAATTTTAATAATATTGATTTTAATTTTTAATGAGTTTAATTAATAAATTTTATTAGTGATACGTTTAAGAATAATTGACACTTACAGAAATATGATCCCAAAATGACACCAGTGAAATATCTGTTACTCCTCCCTATATAAAAAACAAATATTTGATATTTATAATTACAGTGAGTATTGAATAATTAATAGTTAAAAAAAGAATAATTAAGGTTCTAATGAAGTAGAATATTATATGATAACTTTCATCGTTCTAAGAAATGGTTAAATGTTATAATAAAAGATGGCACACGAATATTAAATAAAAAATATCTAAACTAAAATATGAAATTAAGTATCATTTAATGAACTATTTAAATTACTGTGTCAATTAAAAGTATAGCTCCAAAAACTTGCCTCCCAAAAAAACCCACACATAAAAATTAATACAAAAGAATATGTTTTGTAAAACATTTTTCAACAATAATTAAATTGGTACAATAAAAATAGCCGATTTATAACATAGAATAAATTTTATTAAATTTATGCATTTTTATAAGTGTTGTTGGAGGGCTGTATTCAAAACTTTTCATTTGTTGTTAATTATAAATAAATGGTCTACAAGGAATTTGTATCAGAGTCAAAAATATAGTTATCTAAAACCATTTTTTGTGCCGTTTTCAAATCAACAATTATATTTTTTCCATCACCACTAATTTTCAATATTATTAATAATCAGTTAAAAACTAGTATAAAAAAAGCTAAAGTTATAGTAATTTTGTAAATGAAACCTATTATTACACCAAACCTAATTTGACGACAAATACTTTAAAAATATTAGAAAATAATGATTTTAATTGTCTGTATGGAAAAAGCTAGTTAAGCAACTTTTTATTTGATAAAGGGGATTTTTTCAAATTTTGAGAGTAATATCTTAACTAGATAATAGTTGTGATTATTTGATGTGTAGTATAATTATTAATACATGTACTAAATGTCACATATATGAATAAAGCAAAAATCATCTAAGGAATGTTACCCCTTTTAAAGTATTCAAAATAATCATTTATTAACGCATGTTTTAAATCAGTCCCTTCCAATTCATTAACTACGCCTACATCAAGGTTTCTATCACAATTAACCAATTACAAATAATTATATAACATCTTGGGAATTTCACAAGAGATCTTTTTTTTGTTTACTTAATCCAGAATATAAAAAGCCATTTTTTTTATAGAAATCTCTCTCCGGGCTGCAGCTGCTGCTCTTCTCTCTTTCTGCTCCTCTGCTCAGATTTCAGATACTTTTGGTCAATATTTTCTTACATGGAATCTGCGCGAGTATAAATATTTTATCCCTAAGACTTAGTTTTTTTTCATATCATCCTAAATGGTGAACGTTGTTTTAGATAATTTATTAATATTTTACCCGCCAATAAGTTTTATTTATTTTTACTATTATCTAATATCCTTATAAGAAATTAATAATGTTTTATTATATTTAGTGATTTAGAATATTGTTCTGTCCTCATTTCTGGACATCCTTAAGTGTGCCGAAAAGAGTGAAGAAGCGTAATTTTATTTATATAGGTAAAATAACCTTATACATAATCGTACATTCATAATAAAACTTGTTGTGCTCATCGCTTATGAAAATCCTTAGATGTATTAGAATTAATTAGTCTTAGTAGTTATACCTTTGCCTGCGAAATCGCCAGCCTGATAGGACTATGCTAATTACATTCCGGTAACGTGCAGGTAGTTGAGGTAAAGAGTAATATTAAATTTATGAAAAAAATATTTTGGAGTTCGCTATATCAATTGTCAACCCAGTTCTAGAACTACTAGTACGACAATGTACTTTAGTCGTTCTACGGTCCGTAAAAATTTGTTCAGAAATATTATTTTCCGTAATTATATAGCCCCTCATAAATTACAATTAATAAAGAAATAATGGTAGCGTCGGTGATCACTTCTTACCTTTAAAAATATCATCAAACTTAATATAAAAAGCCCAAAATAATGAGCATTCTAGCTCAGATGTTACTCTGATCGTGGTCATTCGGTCAGTGATACTTAGATGCAGTCAGTAATTCTAAAAAGTACATGCAAGAAGTGATTCGCGGAGTCTACGTTATAATTGCATAAGAAAACAAAATTTATTTATTTCAGAGTATTAATAATAGCAAAGACTAATAATTTCACCATAAATACATAAGGTTTAGAATTAAATTTTATGAGTACATATATTAAGTAGGCATAGAGAAAAATCAAGTGATTATCGATAGTAAAAAATATACTAATTAAATTTGATAAATCGATAATGTTTGTACAGAGTTATTTGGCAGAGTTAAATCTTAGATACGTGTCTATTTCAAGAGTTAAGTAGGAGGTTTATTTATACTACTATGGGAGGTGACTCATATGACGACCTATCATCGATAACCGTCAAAACTCGTGGCATTTTTGATTAGTTTTATTTTAAAATACATATACATAAATTTATTATTTTATAACATAGGAGCTTAAAATGTTGTAAATTAAATTATTTTATAAAAATCGAAGAGCATTATATTAACTTATAATTTACTTAACGGTTATCAATTTTTTTATTCTTGATAAATCTAAACTCCGTATTTTGATTTGAATTTAACTTTAATGACTTATTTATGACATTACGTGTACGAATGTCTGCTATTTTATTGTTAAAAATAAATCTAGTTAAAACGAAAAAAAATTAAAATTAATTTTCTTTAAATTACTTTTAAAACTCTAAGTAAAGCAACATTAAAAGTTCATGTTTTTTTTTAATATCGAAAAATATCAAAATAAGGGAACTTTATAATAAACGTGAATTATACAAACTTGATCGCGAAATTAATTTATGTGAAAAAAATTAGATAAATCACGTATTTCTAATGTACGATAATTTTTTTAATATATTATACGTCATGACTTCTTTTTTTTCCTTGGCTTATCAAAACTGTTTATATCAGCCCCTCATATCTTAAACTTCCAGATAGCATGTCTAAACTTGCAGAATGTCGTTCAAATAGTGGGCTATGTTCTAAGGAATTTGTTTGGGACAGTTTAAAGACTCGTACTGATGGAACACAACTTAGTCCTATAATATGGTGGAATGGTACTTGTTCTTCAGTTAAAATTTATATGTTAGAATGCTCCCCCATATCTGTATCGACAGAATACAGTTTTTCAACGTATGGCCTTGTTAATACAACTCAAAATAACAAATAATCGAGCATCCAAACTAGTGTACATTAAACATAATTTAAAAATTGAAAAAGATTTGAAGATTAAAAATTTAAATGGTATCTGTGATTATCAACATTATAATGAACTCACTGATTTCAATTCTTATTATGAAAATATAGAATTAGTAGGTGGTTTAAGTAAATGTGAATCTATTTCAGATAACGAGAATGAAATAAATGAACTATTTGATAATATCATGGCACATACAAATTAAAATTATTAAATAATTTATACTAGACAAAAATTATTTCTTAGTACTCTGTGATACTAAAATTTATAAGCGATAAGGTTTAAGGTACTTCTTTTTAAAGCAACAATTTTAGATTTTAAGATTACTATAAGATGCTACATTTTTAATTTTTTAATAGTTTATTCAAAATATAGAATTTTATTTTGTTAAGAAAAGGTGAATTTTATTATCTTATGTATTGTATTATTGAAAATTTTAAGTTTTTAATGTGGTAAAATTTCAATTGTGTATTTATAATTATTTAAAAGGGCAGAGTTCTCAGTATTTAAACATCATGGGTAGTTTTTGGTTGCAAGTTGACTATAGTTGGTATTTAGTTGATACTAAATCATCCTCTATACAGGAATTCAGGTAAGAGAAATACCTAAAATTCAGTACTTAAACTAATTACTCCCTGAACATTTTGTTTTCATGAATTTTGCTAAAAGCTTTTTCAATAAGTACGCATTTATTTATTGAGTTTTATAAAAAATAATCTCTTTAAAGTTTATTTAGTGTTCAATTTCCCTAATTTTAAGCTGCCACAAGGTAATATTCGGTATTATATACTTATTATACAACAATAAAATAATATACTGTATTTTAAAAACTCTAGAAATATAAGGTAGGTATTTGCACAAGTTAAAAAGTTTTAAATTGCGCTTTAAGTTCATTGCTTAACTTATAATGAACGTTGAATAAAGATGTAATGAAAGAATATTTTCGGTAACAGGACATTCTTCTGTAGATTATTATGGGACAATAAATTATAAAAAAAATAGAACTAAGCAAATTATTTTTGAATATTGTATTAAATAATTATTATTATTATATAATTAATTATGTTATTATTTATTTTATAATAATATTATTCTTTGTTTTTTGATACACTTGTATTTTCGTCAATGTTTTACTAAATTTTATTTTAAACAATTAAATGTAATTTCCTTATTAATCTTAACTGTAATATATACTTTTATAACGCAAGTATCTTAAGTGTATTTTATTCTCGTACCTTAATCTAGACACGGACTGCGTTATGTTTTACATATAAACCATATACAACTACAATTATCATAATTGTAGTTAATGAACCACGAACCGTTATAATCGTTAATATTTAATGACGTATTAACTCAAATTAAATTATTAATCAACTAAAAATTAATCACTGATTTGTGTATATTGTATACTAACCAGAGGTTAGTGTACCTGAATTTCATTAGAGAACACTGGTTTACTCTCTCGAGACTATAAAAAAGGCCATTTTTCTTACGTCTAGGTGATTTTTGTTGGATTTTTTTGTATGGAGTAATTTTTTTGATCCTTCTAGTCAATATATTCTTACATGAAAACAGTGCAAGAATAAATGAATATTTTTTTTTTAAGACTTCGTTTTTTTCTCATATTACCCTAACTGGCAAACACTATTTTTCAAATGATTTAATGAACGTATTATTGCGGCGGGTATTCGACGCTAGACATTTATTGGACTTTACACCACGACGATAACGCGTGAGTGTAACAGTCCGGTTTACAGGGGAGCGTTGGCTGAGAAGGAGCTGAAACGACTGCGGGGTGTTAGACGGGTGACAACGCCGTGGCCGTGTGAAATACCCCCCTCCCCACCAAGCCACCGCATCACTATAAAGGCCGATTGAGATAGTGCAAATGGCACTCGGTACTTAAGTCAAATATATTAATGACGCATAATGCAATAAAAAGCCGCAATGCTTACGTTGTATGTTTGATGAGGTGGGTGGTCATGATCCGCGTAGTGCGCGTGGAAGGGAGGGGGTGGGGATCTAGTCAAATAAAATTTGGATTGGCCGATAACCAGTTTTAATTTTGATTTAAATAGTTTTTTATTATTACTTTTTAAGATAATAACATTTAAAAATTTCGCAAAGGTGTAGAGCGGGGTAGTATTTAGCAACTCTCTAGTTTTACCATAAGGCATATATAAAAATTTATCCACGTTGTGCATACCGCTCAATTAATAACTAAAAATTATATTAACTCAAAAAGTAATAATACAATTCATGTTTTCCACTTGTCAACTTTTCATTTAAACCATTTTCCAATAAAAATATAATATCTAACTTTAGAAATTTACCCTTAGAAATTATTTTATAATAAACACAATATTTAACCAAATAATAAAAGGGAAGTATACTTATTAAATCACACTGTCTGTAATGTATATTAATATAATATATAATATATTATTTATAACATAATCATGTGATTATTTTTAATTCTACATTTGTGATAAAATACTATATTGGATACTTCAGTTTTCAATAAATATAATCTTTTTAAATAATCTTTCATTAGCAAGTTCAAATGTATTTCTTAATTAAATTTTAATATTATATTAAATTTTTTATTTTACATTTATTTTTTGTGCCGGAAAATAAATATACTTTGGTACCAGTTAAATATATTATTTACTAAGGCAAAATGTGTTCTTATAAGTGGCCAAAAAAAGAAAATGTTAATAATATGATTAAATATTTTATTGAGCCAAATAATGATTTAACATACCCCATCACGGTAGTATCTCAGTATTTTGGTAAGTTTTATGATTATATTTAATAATTTAAATTAATTTATACTTGTACATTGTTTAAGATGATTATTCTGAAGCTTCTATGAAAGAAAAAAAAATATTTACATCTTCAGATTCTACACCAACCAAGAAAAAGGATCAAACAGAATGTAGCAATTGATGATAGGATTAATGGTAAATTTACTACCTAACTTTATAGGATAGTTTTATTTCTTATATTTTCTTGTACTTGAACAATATGCCAAGATAATTTCTAGAGTTTTTGAATGTATACAAAAATATTAATTTATATATACTGTAGTATTGATATAACTAAAACACCTAACAGGATAATATATTAGTGTTTTTTTTTTTTTTTTGAGATCCTGAAAATGTTCCAATCAAAATCTGTAAAGTTTCAATTACCAATATAATATTAAATTAAACATTTAAACATTTTATCATATTTGAATAAGTACTCTGTTAATAATATTTTTAAAACTATTTATTTAAGATGCTATAAATAAATACAGGGTAAATTAATATATCAATAAATCCTGTAAATTATTATCATAATATTTTACTAAAACAAATAATATATTCTAATTTTAATTTAAAAATAATAGACTACACAAACTTTAGTAAGAAATTGTTATATTATTAGATAAGAAATTATTAAAAGTTAAAAATCTATTGTGAAAACATTTTCATATTCTAGGTTAATTAAACTAATAATTTTCTGAAATTTTTTTTCTATATCACATAGTTCTGTTGGTATGTTTTGAAATTCATTTTCTTCGTGTGGTGTGGGAAATCCATTTAATACTTTATCTAATAGATATTGTGGTAATATGGGCTTTTTAAAAATTGTATATGTATTGTCGTCTTCATTTAAATCATGCGAGTAGTTATTATTTTCTTTGGTCGATAAGAAGAATGTTTTTACGTAATTAAATACCATTGATTTTAAATAACACATTGCATTACTACATAAATTTAATCCTCGAAGTTCTTCTAAATCGAAATATAAGGCTTTGCAGTCTTTCAATTTTATCGCTGCATCGTTTAATATATCTAAATTTTCTTTTATTTGGTTCAAATATGATTCTAATTGTCTAATTCTTAGTGCCTCAAAACCATATACAATTAGTAAAATCGCATACTTAATAGTTCGAAAATACATGATCATTATTGCTCTGTTAATTGTGTATGTAATATTTTTTTCATACGATGTTGAATTATTTATGAAATTTTTAATTGTTGTTTGGGGTAACTTATTATATTCATCCGTTTCATAATACGAATGAACAAGATCCTCTTTGGCATATTTCCATAAAGATAAATTCTCGACTTTTCTTAAATGATCTCTAGTTTCTTCATCATAAATCGTATCATTTAATACGGGTGTGTTACTATCCAGTTTACTGTTCTATTAAAAATAAATTAAAATTTTTTATAAAATTGTAATATCTATCGATTATTACTTTATTTGCACTCGTATATTAAATAATAAAACCCAGTACAGTCGAAGCCTCACATAGTGAACTCCAATAAGAATTAAAATCATATAGTTATACTATACCACTATCATATTACGCACGGATAAAAGTGTACATTAAAAAAAAATGTTGGATTAAAAATTAAAAAATTAACGAAACTGTGGAACTGTTAACTTTAGTCCTACATTAAACATTTGATATTCCGATAGACATTTTACTTAGTAATGTTAGTGATTCACTAGCAGTACCTATGTATCTTCTACCTAAATTTTTTTCTCCTAGTTAAGTTAAAAACTGTATCTGTTCTTTTCCACTTGGTAAAACCCTAGGCTACGATTTAATTACAGTCGAGGTTGTTCGAAAGTTAACAAAAAAGCAATAATTTTTCTGATTTATATTATAATTTAGTACTTCGGAAATCATAATCTCCGCAATTTTTTTTCAAGTGCACGTATAGTATTAAACATAAACTCACTTCGATTTTAACTATTATGAATTGAATTCGGTGGTCTATACTATCCATAAATGACTTTAATCTTATATTGATTTCTTTTGCTGAAATTAAAATGATTTTATAATTTGATAGTTTTGTTAAAGATACTATATTGAATTTCTATTATGTCATGATGATACATTAATATGTTTCAACATGTGTCATACAGCTTTTTCACATGACCTATACGTACCGTATTCGAAAGTGTAATCATTTCCTTTGTAATTAAAAACAATGTTTTTTTTTCGAACGTCTTAAATTTATAAATAACAATGATTAAAAAAAATAAAAATAACTTAATTTTTTTGGAAAGTTAAAACTTATAATTGAATCTATTTTCTTGAAAAGAAACTTTTTAGAAAATACATAAAATGATTTGTAAATACAAATATTATTGCTGTTCCGCACCAAACACGTGTGCAAATTCAAAATTATTTAAATCGATTTTTCAACAAAAATTTTCTGTGTCTAATACTGTTAATCGCCTCAATTCAACTCCATGCCAAATACCACCTCTTCAATATCATTACAATGCTAATCGTACCGTCGTCAATTTCCGCCACCCGCTACCAATTGACACGTCTACTCGTTGCTCAAACGCTCAACCTAATAATAAAAAAAGTTGTTTCACCACTAGTATTTAAAAAAAAAACAAGATCAATTAAACTCATAACAGCTCTTTTTATGATTTGTCAGATAGGACTGGCAAACAGTTAAAAATAGTTCACTCAGTTATAATAAAATCACCTTGAAAACGTATTGTTTCTACAATTCGCTACTCTGCAATTACTCTTGCAGTAGTTAAACCAAAGATCTATGCTGATGTACCTATTAATAATCAAGATACAAATGAAAATATAATACAAAATCCTCCTCTTATGTTCATACAAACTCAATTAGTTTATAGTAATATTTGTGCTAAAATCAAAGAACTAACAAACTTGGATAGATTTAAATCAAAGAGCTCTACGAAAGATTTGAAATTTCAAACCTATAAATCTGATTATATTAAAATTATAACTAATTATTTCAAAGAAAACAACATAATTTTTCACTCCTACCAGGCCAAAGTAGATAAACCATATAGAATATTAATTATACAATTACACCACTTTACGTAGATTTATTTTATTAAAGAGGATCTATTAAAACTCGGATTTCACACAAGTAATACAATGAATGCCTTGCAAAAATTAACGATAATTCCATTGTCTATATTTTTTATTGATCTAGAATGTATATAAATTTCATATGCGAACGGAAAAAAACCAATTTTGCTCATTTCATTTTTATTCGAACCCCACCCCCCANTATGCGAACGGAAAAAAACCAATTTTGCTCATTTCATTTTTATTCGAACTCCCCCCCCCCATAAGTACAGCTTAATTTGAATAAAAATTATTTTTCAAATAATATTTATTTCTAATGTTTTTCTTTAGCGGTTGAAATAAAAAACATTGTTAGTTATTTATTCACATTTAAGTCAAATATTATGTCGTAAAACATCAATAAAAAATACCAAAATAATTTTCTTAATCTTATTAATCTTATTAATATTTCAAGAAAAATCTAGCGGCTAGCATTAAAAGAATCATTGTGTATTAAATAAGCAACTTAATTATGTTTATTATTATTATTAAAAAAAATTAAGTTATAGTACTAATAACGTGTATGGCATGAACTTGAAAAGTATTCAATGTTTGGTAAATTGAGAAAAACAAGGAAATAAAAGTAATCAAATGTAAAATGCTCAATATTATATTTATTTTTCGATTAATGAAGTGATTGACGATAAAACAATCATCATGTTGATATATTATTGTAATTAAATGATTTATAGATTTATAAAATTATGTGTCTGAATATTCAGCACTTATAATAAAAGTAACGTACGATTTTAAATTGTATTATATGTTGTAGTTCTTTGGTAGTATAATACCATGTGTCATTCTAAAAAAATAAAAAAATATCAATGGTTTTTTATATTTTTACAAAATAAATTGTCAAATGGGTCAACATAAAATATTTTACAGATTTCATCATTTTACTTTCGTAAACAAACATGTTGATTATCTTAACAATATTTGTTATAATTTTTACGACTAAAATAACAATTAACTGCCCCATATTTAACCACCACCCAAAAGAGGCCCATTTGACGTCACAGTAAATATTTAGACTATTTTATTTATTACTCCAATTGTAAAACGTTGCAAATTTATGAATTTTCTATATAGAAAGTTTTCATATAAAATATACTATTTGTTAGGTAAACATCAATACGCTGTCGAGAAATTGTGTTGTGCTACACCGAGTTGTTATCGGTATTCTATCTATGTCTGCATTGTCTTCGCCATCTTAGCACTTTACAGCTATAAGCTCTATGGCGCTTGCGGTTCAGTAGTTTTGTACTGGTTTTGTTGTAAAAAATAAAATATTACCTTTGCGATTGTGACACCCTTGCGCGCACAGTATATCGCCGTTGGGTCTATATATTTTCTGAGATACATCACAGTACCGTTCATATAATATTGTACACGTTGGTCAGCTACTTACATTCGACTTCAATTGATCCTTTCTATATTGAACATTACGAATCAATATTCATCAGCCTTTTCAATTAGCCGATAAATATAATGATTGTCCATCATTTTTTGATGACTTACTTCCATTTATAATTTATTAATTGTTTAAATTAGCGCCATTGTTACATTAATATTAAGTGTCCCACTATCCACATTGGTGTATATAAGTCTTAATGATTCTTGTATAATACATTTAACTGTTATAATTATATATTGTAAAATTCATTCTACTTTCGGTCATACAGTCCACTCACCTTATTCCTTTTCCTCAGCATAGCCTGACTTAAGACAAAATAAAATAACGAATGTTAACGAACCCGCGTGAATAACACCGGGCGCTGCGTTCATATATTAATACCTTCCATCAAAATAAAAATACACGAGTAAATTTTTAGTTTTTATGAGAGGGCTGATTTCTACTTTTTCTCACTAAGCATACTTATGGTTAAGATACTTACAAAATCCAAAAAAATTTCTGCAATAATTTCACTATTATTTACAAAATCCTGGAATAAAATCCAAAAATACATTTATTCAGTTTGGTTATAATCAGAAATTTCATTGTGGGATGGTTAAAGCAGACATTTAAATAAAACAGCACTATGTATAACTAAGGATTATAACTTAAGCTCATAAGATATAAAAAAAGGGTTTTTAAGACTTTTATATTTTGTATAGGGCAATATGTTTTCTATCGTAAGTTAAAAAATTATAGTCTAATTTTATCAGGAAGGATTGTCTCTTATACTACAGATATAGACTGTTACAAGCCTATTTTCTGTGCACCGCATATAAGACGTAAGCAACAAAAAAAAAACATATTGCTATATACGACACAATTATGAATTGATAGCGACAAATTAATTTTACTTCCTATGATTTCTTGATCAGTTATGAATGTTTGTATTTTTTTATTTAAACACGACTAATCAAAATTAAATGCAAAAATTCATGAGTGATACGACTCAGGTCGCAATGATGTAGTCGACACTGGTTTTGATGGTACTGACCCGTGTGCCGTTTATTAATGAGCAAGTTATTTAAAAAACAAACAGAAAAGACGAACACAGTTTATAATAATCTGCGCAAAATATTGTGTCACTTTCGCTGGCTTCGAAGACGCGGTGTCCGACATGATCCTCAGGTGTCGAAAAGTTAGCAGCGTTGCTGATGACATGAGCGGGTGCGGATCGGTTCGTCGAGTCCGGTCGTGGGACACGTCCGGAGCCGTTGGCGACATCCTCGACGTTGTCACTTTGACAACGGGAAGAAGACTCAACGTATCATTTGTGGCGGATCGTCGTCGCGGCACTTGCTGGACTTGGCACCGTGGCGTAGGGTCGCGGTGTTGGTCAGTCAAACTACCAAAGTAGGACGGCGGTTGATAAAGGTGGCACGGGGCAACGTGTATCAAGAAGCGACATGGGACCATGTCATGTGTAAGTTACAAACACGAGGGGTGTTTGTAACATAAGTTTTGAAAATTAGTTGGAGTTGCTCAAAATATTGTTCATTTAAATTTTTACTTTTACAATTGTTTCAAACAACTTTTTTCCTAATAAAATGGGAAATTATGTTTTATGACAATCCACCTTTTATAAGGACGTAAAATTTCCCAAACCAAATGCGCTGTATAATCCCAAAAGACTTTTTTAACAATATTATCTATAACTATGTACTAAAATTATAACTAATATCATAAACGTGTTTTATTTAGAGATTTTAAAATTTTATATCATTCATTCGTACTTTCTTTTTTTAATAGTTAAAAAATAATAATGTAAATAATATAATCAAATTTTGTATACACGTTAAACTGAGTACACGATAATTTTTGTTTTTACAACTTAAGTCTCTAAACTACTAGAGTACGAGATATCGAAGTGTTTTCCATTACCCCGTGTTCTCTATTACTAAAACTGTTACAAGGTCTGATAAAAATAAATTCTCACCAATTTTAAAGGACCACATTGTAAATATTTCTAAAATAAAAAATTGTATGGTAGAATGTTTTTATTAAACATTGTGAAATGATAACACAATCTAATTGGTAACAATAAATAATAAACACTCATTTCTACCTTTTTGGGAAAATATACCTCCTCAATCCATTCAGCAACTGTAATCTATTATAAAACTAATGAATGTTAATATTTTAATATCAAAAGAGTTGATTCATAAAATTTATTGATTTTTCATTTAATAATGATTAAACTTACAAATTCCTTTTTATCATATGAAAGATCTAATTTTATTCCATTCTGAAAATATAATGAAAGAAAACATTTTACGTAATAAAACATAATTGAAAATTTTATATAAATATTTGACATTTATAATCTCAGTTAGCATAATAAATTTTTAATAAAAAAAAATAATAATTTAAAGTTTATATGAAAAATAAAATAATATTATGTTATCTCAGATCTAAGAAAGTGTTTTAGCGTTAAGTGTGAAGTTTTATGTTAAAAAAGTCACATGCAAATAAAATACAAAGCCTCTAAATGATTAAATTAAGTATCATTTAATAAATTATTTTAATTACTTTGTCAACTAAAAGTGCATTTCCAGTAACATCTCCAAAAAAATAACCACACATAAAAATAAATACAAAAGAATATATTTT